CAATAGGCCTCCTGAAATGAAGGAAAGGGAACTGCTAAGGAAGAATGGTATTACTAACGTCTCCCAGCACCACAGTACTAGTTTATGTCACTGCTGACAAGGGCATTTCATGACACTGCAGAGCCATGAAACAGGAATTGAAAAAATATATAATCTGTGTCGAAATGATGTGGTACTCCAACAGTAACTAGCAAGGTAAGATCTTACACAAAATATTTTTTCACTAAAAAGGTTTGAAATGCAAACAGTCAAAAGGATTAAAAGAAGTTTCTTCTTTAGATCACACAACTGATAAAGAGTAAATTGTGTCATGAATGAAATACTTTTAAAGTAGTCTTTTTTAGAAGGTAATGACAGTCGTGTTAAAATAGACAAGTAACTGGGATTTGCAATGGAAGCTGATTTTTTTTTGAAGCTGTGAAGGATCTTAGGAGCTTTTAGAGCACACTGGGCAAACTGGTTGTCCCAGGAAGGATGGCCAAATAGAATTATTATATAGACATTGTGAAATGGTACAGGCCAAAAATTTAAGACATATCTATAAAAGCTCCACCACCCCCACTCCCAACTCTACTCCCAGAGGGATCCACTCTTGCAAATCTAGTTGTTTGAATAGAAAATTTTCTTGTTCAGTTTTCAATCCAAATACAACAGTTCAGAGAAGAATGGCAATGAAATAGCTTCTTTGGCTCTTAGAAAGAGGTAAAGGATGAAATACGAAAACACAAAAACTGTGTAGGTGGCACAAATTATCAAAAGTCAAACAAGGTAACGTGAGTTACAGAATTGTGGTTTGCTTTTTTATACTTTCTTTAGTTAAAACATATTTTCTCAAAGGCACAAAGTAAGGAAAGTTTTAATATTTACTTTGTGACTTCGACATTCCATCACTTTCCAATTCAGGTTTAGTTCAGTGGGATGCATATAAGGTTCTTTCTTGGCCGGGTGCAGTGGCTCAAGCCTGTAATCCCAGCACTTTGGGAGGCCGAGGCAGGTGGATCACAAGGTCAAGAGATCGAGACCATCCTGGTTAACATGGTGAAACCCCGTTTCTACTAAAAGTCCAAAAAAAAAATGAGCTGGGCATGGTGGCACATGCCTGTAATCCCAGCTACTCAGGCAGGAGGCTGAGGCAGGAGAATTGCCTGAACCCAGGAGGCGGAGGTTGCGGTGAGCCGAGATCACGCCATTGCACTCCAGCCTGGGTAACAAGAGTGAAACTCCGCCTCAAAAAAAAAAAAAAAAAAAAAAAAAAAAGAAGGTTCTTAATCTTTTCTTTTTTCTTTTTTTGGAGACAGAGTTTTGCTCTGTTGCCAGGCTGGAGTGCAGTGGTGCCATCTCAGCTCACTGCAACCTCCGCCTCCTGGGTTCAAGCAATACCCCGCCTCAGCCTCTGGGTAGCTGGAACTACAGGGGCGTGCCACATGCCTGGCAAATTTTTCTGTATTTTAGTAGAGACAGGGTTCACCATGTTGGCCACGATGGACTCAATCTCCTGACCTCATGATCTGACTGCCTTGGCCTCCCAAGGCGCTGGGATTACAGCCATGAGCCACCACACCTGGCCACAAGAAGGTTCTTAAAATCTGATTGTCTGCTTAGATTATGTTGCGTAAATTCAAACCTTGTTATTTATTTATTTGTTTATTTGAGACAGAGTGTCGCTCTTGTTACCCAGGCTAGAGTGCAATGGCGCGATCTCGGCTCACCGTAACCTCCGCCTCCTGGGTTCAAGCAATTCTCCTGTCTCAGCCTCCTGAGTAGCTGGGATTACAGGCACACACCACCATGCCCAGCTAATTTTTTGTATTTTTAGTAGAGACGGGGTTTCACCTTGTTGACGAGGATGGTCTCGATCTCTCGACCTCATGATCCACCCGCCTCGGCCTCCCAAAGTGCTGGGATTACAGGCCTGAGCCACTGCGCCTGTCCCAAAGCAACTGGAATTTAGGTTATAGTTTACTAATTTTTATAGCAAGTAGGGGAGCATTTAAGTAGAAAAAATACATGATTCCAATGATAAACTTAATGAAAAATGTTCATTTAAAACTTATTAAAGCAGGGGCTAGGTGTGGGCTAATGCCTGTAATCCCAGCACTTTGGGAGGCCACAGCAGGAGGACTGCTTAAGCCCAGGAGTTCAAGACAAGCCTGGGCAACACAGGGAGACCCTGTCTCAAACAAGGAGTAAGTTAAAAAAATTTATTAAAATATAATAAAAAGGCCATGTGTGGTGGCTCATGCCTGTAATCCTAGCACTTTGGGAGGCCAAGGTGGGTGGATCACCTGAGGTCAGGAGTTTGAGATCAGCCTGGTTAACATAGTGAAACCCTATCTCTACTAAAAATAGAAATATTAGCAGGGCATGGTGCTGGGCACCTGTAATTCTCAGGAGGCTGAGACAGGAAAACTGCTTGAACCCGGGAGGCTGAAGTTGCAGTGAGCCCTGATCATGTCACTGCATTCCAGCCTGGGTGACAGAGTGAGTCTCAAAAAAAAAAAAAAAAAAAGGAAGAAGAAGAGTATCTTGAAAATTAAGACAAAATTGCATGAAAATCAGTGACCCAGTACAATGTATATCCCTTTCTATGTTTTATTTTACATTAAGTGTAGTTATAGTACATGAACATTTTGGTGTTTGTTTACTTTCAATTTCATCTACTCACATTCACTAAACATTTATTTAATACTTTTCTATGTTCTATAAAATAGGCTCAAAGATAATATATAGCTTCTGACCTCAGGGTGGTCTATAGAAGGGTAAAAATAAGTGCTCAGGGGACGTTAACAAACAAAATGTAATGTGGCAAGTGCTTTTATGAAGAATATAATGCAATAAAGAGGAACGTCCAATAGGGTCAGAAGCTTGAGATGAATATAAGGCTCATCAGAGAGAACGTGGTAAAGGCAAAAAGTAGAAAGGAACGAAAACGCAATCTATAAGTTAGGTCTTCCTACAATTAGATACACATTTTAGGAAGGATTGGAGGGGCAAAAGACTTTCATTTCTGTCTTGTTTAAGCAGTCTGCTATGAATACATATTTTTTAAATCAGAGAACAAAGTGGAGGTGGAAAACTTCAGCCTCTCTACATCACCATCACTGTCAAGAGTCCCAACATTTTAGTTGGCCAAGGAAGCATTTTTCAACCTTACCTCTCACAGCATCTCCCTCCCCCTAACTCCAGCCATATTAATTAACTTGGAGTCAAAGAAATAAAAAAAAAAAAAAAAAGGTACCATTTTAAACTCAACAGTTTAAAAAAATTATAAAGACTATGAAATGTAAATGGTGCCAATTTTCCTAGTGGGCATTTAAATTTTTTTTGTTGTTGTTTGCAGAGACGAGATCTCACTATGTTGCCCAGGCTGGTCTTGAACTCCTGAGCAAAAGCAATCCTCCCGCCTCAGCCTCCCAAAGTTCTGGGATGACAGGTGTGAACCACCATGCCTGGCCCCTGGTGGCCATTTAAAATGAAAATTATTTGAAAACATGCATACTCTTTGATCCAGCAATTCCAATTCCACTTCTAGGACTATCACTTAAGGAAATAAGAAAAGACATACAGATACGTTTACAGCAACACTAGTTACAAAAGGAAGGAAATCAGGAAACAACTGAAATGTCCAATAATAGGTTAAATTATGAAAAAGATACACTATTCAATACAAACCCCAAACACTTCAAAGAATGCCATACATTATTTAATGACACGTCATTAAAAACCATCAGTGGTGTGAATGATTTGGTAATGGTGTGACACATCATTAAAAACACCACATACGTGTTGGGCACTAATCTCATAAGCCTTGAAAGTAGGTAGATTATCCAACTTTTACATGAGGAGGCTGAAACATAATTGATTTAACTTGCCCAAGGTCATACAATTATTAACTGGTGAAACCAGGATTCAAGAGGAGGCCATCTGCTGGGTGCAGTGGTTCACGCCGGTAATCTCTACATTTTGGGACGCCAAGGCGGGAGGATCACTTGAGACTAAGAGTTTGAGAGCAGCCTGGGTAACAGAGCAAAACCCTGTCTCAAAAAATAATAATAATAAAAGGTTGGGCGTGGTGGCGCGTCCTATGGTCCTAGCTCCTCGGAACACTCAAGTGGGAAGTGGGAAGATCGCCTGAGCTGGGAAGCCCAGGCTCCTGTGAGCCGTGAGAGCGCCACCGCAAGACAGCCTCAGCAACAGAGTGAAACTGTCTCCGAAAACAAAACCAAAACACTAACAAACGCAGGCTATCTGAATACCGAGCCCATGTTCCTTTCCATGCTCATTATGTCTCCTTGCCTTTGTGCAGAATGGGGTTAGAACTATTTACCTCGCAAGGTTACTGTGCAAGTGAAATGAAATAAACACAAAGCTTCTAGGACACAGTGGACATTCAATACTCAGAAACTACTGAGTAACTCGTTCAAGGTCAAACTAGGATTTAAACACAGGATTTGAATCTTTCCTTCCAGGGAGCGCGTAGGAGGTTAAGAAGTTTTTCTTGGCTGCTGCTGCCTTTTTTTTTTTTTTTTTCCTGAGACGGAGTTTAGCTCCTGTTGCCCAGGCTGGAGCGCAATGGCGTGGTCTCATCTCGCTGCAACCTCCGCCTCCCGAGTTGAAGCGATTCTCCTGCCTCAGCCTCCTGAGTAGCTGGGATTACAGGCGACCGCCACCCACGCCTGGCTAATGTTTCATATTTGTACTAGAGATGGGGTTTCACCATGTAAGCCCGACAGGTCTCGAACTCCTGACCTCAGGTAATCCGCCCACCAATTCTTAACGCTGAAGTCAGTATGGGCTTTCCTTCAGCCCCATAAAGCGCACCTCAGAGGTCCGGGAAAACATAACACGCATATTCAAAAAGTAGGGAACGCGCGAAAATGGCTTTAGGAAGCACTAAGTCTTGCCTGCTTCTCTGTCCTCCCTGCTTTTCTAAATCCAAACAGGGACTCCGCAACCTGCAACACCGCAAATTTCTAGGGCGGAAATGACGTCTTATTCACGCGCCGGAAGTGCATTTACGGAGTGAGACAAAGGAGAGAACGCAGGTGGGCCTGCTGCGGAGTACGCTTTTGAGTGAGAAGCATCGGGGCTGCATAGGACGCAGCTGTTGCCATGACGGCCCAGGGGGGCCTGGTGGCTAACCGAGGCCGGCGCTTCAAGTGGGCCATTGAGCTAAGCGGGCCTGGAGGAGGCAGCAGGTGAGGCACTTGGGCAAGTGTACGTCACTCTTCATCCCATAACAGCACCAAAGTAATGAGACCTGAGCCCTCAGGCGTAACTCTGAAAAAGATGGGTGGCATACAGACATCACCTGGGGAGGTACCGGTTTTTCTGCCCTGGAGGTTTCTCTGCCCAAAGAATGTTTACGTCAGTCCGCCCTGATAAGGAACTGAGGAACACACGAGGGAGCTTGGTCTAATCTGAGTAGGTGAATCTGAACATCTTTATTCCTATGATTGGTAGATGAGGAAATGTGGTATATGAGAGTGTCGGAGGTTGCAGCTTTAGTTTCTTGGTTTGGTTTTTTAGGGGTCGAAGTGACCGGGGCAGTGGCCAGGGAGACTCACTCTACCCTGTCGGTTACTTGGACAAGCAAGTGCCTGATACCAGCGTGCAAGAGACAGACCGGATCCTGGTGGAGAAGGTACAGAGGTATAGATGTTACTGTAGTCCTTGGGCCAGTCCTGACCCATATGCCCATCCTCTTCTCCCAGGTGAAATTACTGTAGATAGCCCTTATCTTGAATATTTCGAAACTAAACTGCTTGAGACTGGTATTTCGGTAGTTTATATATCAGCTACAAAAGTGCTTAATAGTTTGAAAAATAAAAGATATTTGGAACATAACATATAAGGAAGTAGGTTGAAAACGATCTTTTGGTGGCAACATCTTCCAGCCGAAGTGATCTTTTTTCTACTCTAGTTCGCTTACACCACGTATCCACTGTCAGGATATTCTGTTGGCTTTATCTACTACTTCTTACTGTGTTCCCCTCTCATCCCGACCCAAGCAACGATCTAGATTTCTGCAGTAGACTTTTTAAAAAGTCAGTTATTTTGGGGTATAGTTTATGTACAACCACATTCAATTAAACCATGTTTTTTCAGCCTTAGCACTATTAACATTTTGGGCTGGATAATTATTTGCTGTGGGGGACTGTACTTGCACTGTGGGATGTTTAGCAGCATCCTTGGCGTCTACCCATCATATGCCAGTAGTGTTCCTGCCTAGTTGTGACACCAGAAATGTCTCCAACATTATCATATGTCTCTTAAGAGGCAAACTGCCCTCATTTGAGAACCACTAGTTTAAAGGATAGGATCTGATGTGCTTTGACACTGGTATACCCCCATGAAACTGCATCCTGAAATAACTTATCTTTCATTTCCAAAAGATTCCTCCTTGTGCCCTTGTGCAATAGACTTGTAACTAACTGGTCTTGCTACTTGCTCCCTGTAGTCTATTCCCAGCACAGCAGTTAGAATGATCCTTTTAAAACTTAAGTCATTCCTACAAAAAAAACCCTTCTGTAGCTCTGCATTCATTCAGCACAACAGCCCGTTTTTATAATGTTTACATAAGTCTGCATTGATCAAGCTTCTTGTAATATCTTTAACAACTTCTACCATTTTCCTCTTTGCTGAGTCCACTGTAGTCATAATGGCCTTCTTGCTGCTCTTTAAAGATGCCATACAAACTCCCATCGCAGGCTTTTTGTACTTGTTCTTCCCTCCTTCTGAAATGCTCCTCCCCAGATACTTGCATGATTTGCTTATCTCCTTTAGGTCTCTCATATGTTAGCTTCTTAGTGAAGCCTACCCTCATGGCAATCCCTGTCCTGTTTACCTACTTTATATTTCTACATATCATTTATATATATGATAATGTTTCTTTTAATATAGCTAGATTTACATTGTTAATATTTTGTTTAGGATTTTTTCATTTAGAATCATGAGTAATATTGGCCCATAAACCTTTCCCTTAATGTCCTTGTCAGGTCATGGTTATTTATGAGGCCCCATGTAATTAGTTGGGGAATGTGCATTTTTTAATTCTCTTAAAGAGTTTATGCAAGATTAGCTTTCTTTTTTTCTTTTTTTTTTTTGAGACAGGGTCTCACTTTGTCACTCAGGTTAGAGTACAGTGGCACAATCTCACCTTACTGCAGCCCCTACCTCCTGAGCTCAAGGGATCCTCCTTCCTCAGCCTCCAAGCAGCTGGGATTACAGGCATACTCCACCACACTGGGCAGATTTTTTGTATTTTTTGTGGAGATGGGGTTTCACCATGTTGCCCAGGGTGGTCTCAAATACCTGAGTTCACACAATCCACCCACCTTGGCCACACCCAAGCCTAACTTTATTTGTTCCTTAAATGTTAAGTAGAATTTGCCAAGGGAAGCCATCTGGGCTTAAGTGTAATTTATTTGACAGTAATAGGGGCTATTTATAATTCTTTTTCTATTTATATATAATTTTTGAGACAGAATCTTACTCTGTTGCCCAGGCTGGAGTGTGGTGGCACAATCTCAGCTCACTATAGCCTCCACCTCCCAGGTTCAAGCGATCCTCCTGGCTCAGCAACCCCTAGTAGCTAGGATTACAGGCACACACTACCATGCCTGGCTGTTTTGTATTTTTAGTAGAGATGGGGTTTTGCCATGTTGGTCAGGCTGGTCTTGAACTCCTGATCTTAGGTGATTCACTTGCCTCTGCCTCCGAAAGTGCTGGGATTATAGGCATGAGCCACTGTGTCCGGCCTGGGGCTATTTATATTTCTAATTTCTTGGGTCATTTTGTTATATTTTTTCTAGGAACTTAACCATTTCCTAAAATTTCAAAGGTATTAACATAAAGTTGTTGATAATATGATCGCTTCCCTATATGCAAGATCTGTGATGGGCCTTTTTTCATTCCTGATGTTGAATATTTGTCTCCTTTTTTCATCAGGCTTACCAGTATTGACTTTTTTTTTTTTTTGAGTCGGAGTTTCACACTGTAGTCCGGGCTGGAGTGCCATGGCGGGATCTTGGCTCACTGCAACCTCTGCCTCCCTGGTTCAAGCGATTCTCTTGCCTCAGCCTCTCAAGTAGCTGGAATTACAACTGTCCACCACCACGCCCAGCTAATTTTTTGTATTTTTTAGTAGACACAGGGTTTCACTATGTTTGCAGGCTGGTCTTTAACTCCTGACCTCGTGATCCACCTGCTTTGGCCTCCCAAAATGCTGAGGTTACAGGTGTGAGCCACCATGCCTGGCCTGGTATTGACTTTTTAAAAGTTATTTTATTTTTTACAGGTCACTGTACCCATCACCAGTATGGATTTTATTAATCTTTTCAAAAATGCTTTTTTTTTCTAGTTTCTTGAAATAGATGCTTAGTTTATTTTTAGACTGCCATTACTTTTTTTTTTTTTTTTTTTTTTGAGACAGAGTTTTGCTCTTGTTACCCAGGCTGGAGTGCAGTGGCATGACCTTGGCTCACTGCAACCTCTGCCTCCTTGGTTCAAGCAATTCTCCTGCCTCAGCCTCCCAAGTAGCTGGGATTACAGGCACCCACCACCATGCCCTATATATATATATATACACACACACACATATATATATGTGTGTGTGTGTGTGTGTGTGTGTGTGTATTTTTGTTTTCTTTTTTATTTCTTCTAATTGTTTTCTTATTTTTAGTAGAGATGGGGTTTCACCACATTGGCCAGGCTGGTCTTGAACTCCTGACCTCCGGTGATCCACTCGCCTCGGCCTCCTGAAGTGCTGGGATTACAGGCATGAGTCACCACGTCTGGCCAGACTGCCGTTACTTTTAATGGCAAAAACTGCAATTACTTTTGTACCAACCAAATAGTATGCATTTAAAGTTATAAATTTCTCAGAGCTCTACCTGTGTCCCCAAGTTTCAAAATGTGGTATTTTTGTTATAATTCCGTTTTCTGTTATAATTTCATCGATTCATGTATCATTGTTAATTCCAAACATAAGAGATTTTCTGGTTACTATAAAATTATTGCTAATCGAGTTGCATTGTAATAAGTCAAAGAATATGTTTTATACAATATACATTCTTTGAGACTGACATTTTGTTCATGGTTCAGCAAGTGGTCAGTTTTTCTAAATATCCTGTGTTTGAAAAGAATGTGAATTCTGCAGTTGTTGAGTGCAGTGTTACATGTATGTCAGTGGGTTAAGTTTGTTAATGTCATGCAAATCTGAGGGTGATGATCAGAGGGTTAAAATTGTGTGTTTGTTTCAGCGCTGTTGGGACATCGCCTTGGGTCCCCTTAAACAGATTCCCATGAACCTCTTCATCATGTACATGGCAGGCAATACTATCTCCATCTTTCCTACTATGATGGTGTGTATGATGGCCTGGAGACCCATTCAGGCACTTATGGCCATTTCAGCCAGTAAGTATTCTTGAAACAATAACCCTTCCCTAAGTTTTAAGAATTAAAGGCAGGCCGGGTGTGGTGGCTCACACCTGTAATCCCAGCAACTTTGGGAGGCTGAGGTGGGTGGATCATCTGAGGTCAGGAGTTTGAGACCAGCCTGGCCAACACAGTGAAACCCCATCTGTAATAAAAATGCAAAAATTAGCTGGGCGTGGTGGCATATGCCTGTAATCCCAGCTACTTGGGAGGCTGAGACAGGAGAATCACTTGAACCTTGAAAACGGAGGTTGCAGTGAGCTGAGATCAAACCACTGCATGCCAGCCTGGATGATAAAGTGAGACTCCATCTCAGAAGAAAAAAAAAAAAGAATTAAAGGCATATTCTTAAGGACAGTTTTTGGCTAACAGCATATAGAGAGGTGGGGTAATGGTGGTGGCATGGAGGGGAATATAGTGCTTAACATGATTTTCTTTTTCCCTTTAATGGTCCTGTTTACTGTCTTACTGTGGGTCTGATTTTTATATATGGTTGGCTTGATTCATATTGGGGAAAAGAGTTCTTTTGGTTTTGACAACTTCTGTTACTCCAACAGCTTTCAAGATGCTAGAGAGTTCAAGCCAGAAGTTTCTTCAGGGTTTGGTGTATCTCATTGGGAACCTGATGGGTTTGGCACTGGCTGTTTATAAGTGCCAGTCCATGGGACTGTTGCCTACACATGCATCAGATTGGTTAGCTTTCATTGAACCCCCTGAGGTAAGGCAGAAGAAAAGCTGAATTCTGGGTGGTTGTAGTGTACAGTGAATAGCTGACTTACTCAACGGTGGGGAAATTAGAGTTGGTATTAGAGTTTTTTTTTTTTTTTTTTTTTTTTTTTGAGATGGAGTCTCCCTCTGTTGCTCAGGCTGGAGTGCAGTGGTGCGATCTCGGCTCACTGCAACCTCTGCCTCCCAGGTTTAAGCAATTCTCCTGCCTCAGCCTTCCAAGTAGCTGGGATTACTGCCTGCCACCATGCCCAGATTTTTTGTATTTTTTAGTACAGATGGGGTTTCATCATGTTGGCCAGGCTGATTTCAAACTCCTGACCTCAAGTGAGCCTCTCGCTTCAGCCTCCCAAAGTGCTAGGATTATAGCCATGAGTTTCTAGGCCACACCTGGCCTAGAGTTTCTAAAAAAATAAAGAGCCATTAGGAGTTTTTAAGTTACTATTTTTGAAACAAGGTCTTGTTCTTTTGCCCAGGCTGGAGTGCAGTGGTGTAATCATGGCTCACTGTAGCCTTGGCCTCCAGGCTCAAGCACTCACCCTCCCAAGTAGCTGGGACTACAGGTGCACACCCCCATGCCCAGCTAATTGTATTTTTTAGAGACAGAGTTTCACCATGTTGCCCAGACTGGTCTTGAAATCCTGGGCTCAAGCGATCTGCAACCCCCCCACCCCTTAGCCTCCCAAAGTGTTAAGATTAGCTACTGCGCCTGTCCTGGAAGTTCTTTTTAAAAAATAGGCAAAATAGAGCTTGTGGTTAAAGTATTAAGTAATTGAATCAGGAAGGTATTTTTAACACTCATTTTCCACTCACCTATTTATTCTTTCTTCTTTCAGAGAATGGAGTTCAGTGGTGGAGGACTGCTTTTGTGAACCTGAGAAAGCAGCACCTGCTGCCTATGTATTTGGGTCTTTACATCCTTCTTTAAGCTCAGTGGCTCCTCAGCATACTCTTAAAATCATCACTCATGTTAAAAAGAACCACAAAGCTCTTTTCTCCATGGTGGGGTGACAGGTCCTAGAAGGACAATGTGCACATTATTATAAACACAAATAAACTATACCACAACCCCTGACTGAAAATAATGTAGAAAACTTTATTTCTGTTTCCAGTACAGAGCAAAACAACAAATAAAATCATAACTCTATGTAAACAAGAGAATAACTGCTGCTAAATCAAGAAGTGTAGCAGCATATCCTTTCAATAAATTAAATGGTTGAGAACAATGCATAAAAAAAGTTGCACAAGTTCCCTTAAATCTATTTTCCTTAATATTTCACTTCTATTTAATACAAGCTGGGACATCATAAAAATTCTGTTGGAGACACTTATGGAAGATGTAAGAAAATAATGCTGGATTCAGCTTATACATGATGAAAAGAAAAATAAACCAGACCAAAAGAGCACATAAACATGCATACAGTCTAACTGTTGTTTTAATACCCACAATAAGGGATTTCTGTTAACATGTTTAGGGGGAATGAGGATTGGTAGGATCCTTGGGGCCACAGGAATCTGAGGCAACAGAAGATACATACAGTGATCTTACCCCTGCCGAGAAGCTGACACCTGTCAAGCAGATGCTGCAGTTCAGACTTAAGCTTTTAAGATAGCTATTAAAGGCAGAGGGTCAGCAGTAGGAGGATGTGTATTTCTAATCTGCCCTGGTAAAGTCATAGGTAAGACTCAAAAGCTTGTCTTATTCAAAAGGCAGGTATTTCCTTTGTCTTTTCTCTTGAAACAGCCCCTTCCCCTAAGGTGCATTCTCTCAAGTTTTCAGTATTGCTTTATTTGCAGTGATTAAGAGAGATGAAAGACTTTGGAGACACCATAAGCAACACATACAGACATGAAATGCTCTAGACAGAGATTAATATAAATCTGGCCTAATAACCATTTTTCCATGTAACAGTGACTGAATAGTAGCTATAGTAATGGCCACTAATTCCCTTATCCCTTTAAAAGATTTTTACAGAGCTCCAACCACAAACAGCACTTCTAAAACTAACTTTTATTGTCTGCCCATAATTTGTTCTACATGGAAACAAAAATACCACTTTGGCCAGGGGTGTGTGTAAATGTGGGGGAATTCCTAGGTAGGCTAACCTTTACAGTACGGGTCTTTTAAGATACTGGACCCTGGCCAGGCACAGTGGCTCACGCCAGCACTCTGGGAGGCCAAGGCAGGCAGACCACCTGAGGTTGGGAGTTCGAGACCAGGCTGATCAACATGGAGAAACCCCATCTCTGCTAAAAATATAAAATTAGCCAGGTGTGGTGGCACATGCCTGTAATCCCATCTACTTAGGAGGCTGTGGCAGGAGAATCACTTGAACCCGGGAATTGGAGGTTACAGTGAGCTGAGATTGCTCCATTGCACTCCAACCTGGGCAACAGGAACAAAACTGTCTCAAAAAAAAAAGGTACTAAATCCTGCGAGACCTGACTCACTACTGTTACAAGCAACTAAGCAATAAGAGTGTTGCAGTGGGAGTTATAAACAATGCTTCTATCATCTGCAGGAGGGAACAGAAAAAAAGGCTTAAGATCCTATTTGCTTTGCCATCCTGAGTGTGCCTGGAGGTTGAAGAAAGAGCAAAGGGAACAAATCAAAATTACTAAATTTCTTAAGCTACATTGAAGAGTTTTCTCTGTACTTACAGGTCAAATGAATAATCTGTGACACTTAGAGGTCAGCTTGCTCCATGTCCTATTGAGTAATCAAACGAGTGGCACTATTTGTGACTAATAAATTGAAATTCAAAAACAGCCATGAATACAGGCAAGAAAAGTTTATCTAAATACCTATTCTGTAAAAGAAATGGAGATTTCACATACTTGAAATTACTGCTCAGCCAGCCACACAGTCTTCCTATGCTTGTAAGCCAGATGATGTGTGATCAGTAAATAATAAAAAGCTGAGCTTGCACAAGTATTTCCTTGGCACATTGAACTTTCTTTTTTCTTTTTGAGATGAAGTATTGATCTGCTGCCCATCCTAGAGTGCAGTGGTGCAATCCTGGCTCACTGCAACCTCTGCCTCCTGGGTTAAAAAGATTCTCCTGCCTCAGCCTCCTGTGGTAGCTGGGATTACAGGCGTGTGCCACCAAACCTGGCTAATTTTGTATTTTTAATAGACACAGGGTTTCACCATGTCGGCCAGGCTGGTCTTGAACTCCTGACCTCAAGTGATTCACCTGCCTCGACCTCGGAAAGTGTTGGGATTACAGGTGTGAGCCACAGCACCCGGCCTGAACTTTCTGAAAACAAAACAAATATAAGACTGTTGGCTTGGTTAATCTCTTAGTTCAGAGCCAAGTTTTTGTAGTCAAAATGAAGGATAAAATTGAAAGGAAAAGGGGGAAAATGCTTATACTTGGCATTAAGTTGAATGCCTCAAGTCTTAACTACGGCTCTGTATATGAGGCAACAGATTTCTTAGTGAAAGTAAAATTTCTTCAACAGGACAATGCCAATCTGAATGCTATTTTAGCAAAGTAGGTAAGGAGAGTAGCCGCTCAGTAACTGGCACTAAGGAAAGAGTATGGCTCTGTAACTTCCAATTCCATTGCTAGATGTGCCCTTTAAAAGATAGTCTAGTGCTTTCAGGGAAGGATTTTTAGCCAGTTTTCCTAGAATTTGTTCCTTAAGATTTTCTGACCTGTGCTTAATAAGAGGGCATAAAAAAAGGCATGGGGGAGGGCAGTAGGTGGAGCAGGGGGAATTAGAACCTATTGGTTAATGTGCATCATGACCTGTATTTCTGAGATAACAGCTTGAATGTTTTGTCCGTGTTGTATAGAGAACCACAGACTATTGCAGTAAATGTTAATAGCTTCCTTTTGGAGTTCTCTCAGTTCGGCCATTTGAAAGGAACTTCAAAGAAATAATTTTTACCTTACCGAAAACAATTTCCATGGCAACTGCCTGTGTTACAACCACAGAACGGGTTCTCAGTTAAGAGACACAGTTGAAGTATACACTGACACAGTATGGATACTTAAATCTGTTTTTTGGGGGGAATATTTATGAAGTAGAGGCTGGAGCTGTATTTCAAGTTTTGTACATTAGTATCCTAATATAAAATTAGAGCAGTGGGTATACTAAAGAAATATAGCTAAAAAAATGTTTGCATCTTGGCTTGCCAAGGATAATAGGTCCACATATACTTGACCATAAATTCTTTAGTCAGATGAAGCTGTGTCTGGTTGTCATCCTCACAGTGCCATCATTGAACCATGACTTCTGAGATTCATCTTTAATGTCGAATATGCACTTGACTTTTTTCTTCAGTTGAATTTCTAGCATCGCTTTTACCAATTCATTTATTGGCTCAGCTTGTTAATTCTAACTTGCCTTTGACTGGTCAGACGTGGCTCCTAAGACTTGAACATTGTTCTGATGTTGAGAGAGTACTTGCTTTTTCTGTAAGGAATGTAGATCAGATGGGAGCTCTTTAACACAGGTACTTGAGGCTCAGCTCATCAACAGTTCTGTGTGATGTGTATAACGACGCAGGCTTCTAGTTGAGTGGGAGTGGTAGTAATGAGCTGGCACTTCCATGGAGGATGTAGGCCTTTTAAGAAAACAGGCCAAGCACAGTCATTCAGAGTAGATCATGAATAAATAGTGATCACTTCACTGCCACCACCCCGGACAAGTAGGACTCGCTCTAGTCCCTCGGTAAGCACCTCTAGGAACTCCATGTCTTCAGAACTTGTCAAGGAGACAGGCAAAAGAAGAGCACAAACTTACAACCTGGCATCATAATCTGAAGTTACCTGATCATAGAGCTACAAAATTAGCTGCTTAATTATATATTCAGAAAAGTCTGAACTTTGTATTGAAATTAACCCTGTGAAGTAACCAGGGATCCAGTTGCATACATAATACAAGACTCCCAATTGTTATTTTCTTTTCTTTTTTTTTTTTTTTTTGAGACGGAGTTTCGCTCGTTACCCAGGCTGGAGTGCAATGGCGCGATCTCGGCTTACCGCAACCTCCGCCTCCTGGGTTCAGGCAATTCTCCTGCCTCAGCCTCCTGAGTAGCTGGGATTACAGGCACGCGCTACCATGCCCAGCTAATGTTTTGTATTTTTAGTAGAGATGGGGTTTCACCATGTTGACCAGGTTGGTCTCGATCTCTTGACCTTGTGATCCACCCGCCTTGGCCTCCCAAAGTGCTAGGATTACAGGCTTGAGCCACCGTGCCCGGCCCCGAATTGTTATTTTCTAAATGTTATTTAAAAAATGGGAAAACCTACAAATGTTATTCTAAATAAGATACAAATGATGAAAGAAGAAAAAAAGCCACAATAGGGCAGCTAACAAGATTCCTAGAGAGAACCCAAGTAATTTCTAAGTGAAGCTGATCAAGTCAGATTTTTCTGCCAGTTCAATTTGTCTTTTTTTTTTTTTTTTTTTTAAAAAAAAACCAGGGCCGGGTGCGGTGGCTCAAGCCTATAATCCCAGCACTTTGGGAGACTGAGGCAGGTGGATCACAAGGTCAAGAGATCGAGACCATCCTGGTCAACATGGTGAAACCCCATCTCTACTAAAAATACAAAAAATTAGCTGGGCATGGTGGCGCGTGCCTGTAATCCCAGCTACTCAGGGGGCTGAGGCAGGAGAATTGCCTGAACCCAGGAGGCGGAGGTTGCGGTGAGCCGAGATCGCGCCATTGCACTCCAGCCTGGGCAACAAGAGCGAAACTCCGTCTCAAAACAAACAAACAAACAAACAAACAAACAAAAACCTCTTTTTCTTTCTTTCCTTTTTGTTTTTCTTTCTTTCTTTTTTGAGAGGGAGTTTCACTCTTGTTGCCCAGGCTGGAGCGCAATGGTGTGATCTCAGCTCACTACAACCTCCGCTTCCTAGGTTCAAGCGATTCTCCTGCCTCAGCCTCCTCAGTAGCTGGGATTATAGGCACCCACCACCACATCCAGCGAATTTTTGTATTTTCAGTACAGACGGGGTTTCACCATGTTGGCCAGGCTAGTCTCGAACTCGTGACCTCAGTTGATCCACCTGCCTTGGCCTCCCAAAGTGCTGGGATTACAGGTATGAGCCACCATGACCAGCCTAAATCTGTTTTTTTTTTAAAAATGGTACTGGTGGGAATAAGCTAATCTATGTGGTTGCAGTGCTGAATGGTTTCCCTCATGTCAGAAGTCCTGGGATGAAGGTATGAGGAAGAATCCATATCTCTTTTTTCCCCTCAGTTAAAGGAGGTTCTATCTCAGCTTCTTCCCTAACTTTATCCAAAATAAAAAGGTTTTGCAAAGTGGGTAGAGCCTGAAAAGGAGAAAGGATGTGGATATGCTTTCTGTAGGATTGTGAGTAAGGGTTTTATACACTGAATATTAGCTGTCATGTCGCAAATACACCATCTAAAAAGTTTTCTAGAACTGAATTATATTTGCCCCAACTCCCCTAAAAGAATTAACTTTGTAAAAATTCTTACCTAAGACTTTTAAGTCTTCCTTAAAGAGGGACAGTGGGGACATAGACAATAATTTTTATAGTTACCTCGTTACCTCATGTCAGAAAGAGGCTAAGGAGATTACCCCTACTGGAAGCCCCACTCTTGGAAAGGATACAGTTTTCATCACCCTCAGGGTTTCGTGGTGGCCCTGGCATATTCAATAAAACCAGCTTTGCTTCATGGGACTTGTTAACTATAACCTCATTGAGTTTCACTGCTGTATGCATCCGCCTCACATTGGACTGGTCTCTGAGTGGGGAAGAAATAAAGATTGTTAAGGTAAAAAGAAAACTAGCTATACAGTCAATCTTAAAAACTTGATATCCACAGCTTTTTCACTTGACTGTGGATAATCTGATAAAATGATTTTTCTTTTTTTTTTTTTTTTGAGAGGGAGTTTCGCTCTTGTTGCCCAGGCTGGAGTTCAATGGCGCGATCTCGGCTCACTGCAACCACTGCAACCTCTACCTCCTGGGTTTAAGCGATTCTCCTGCCTCAGCCTCCCGAGTAGCTGGGATTACAGGCACCCACCACCACGCCTGGCTAACTTTTTTTGTATTTTTAGTAGAGACAGGGTTTCACTATATTGGCCAGGCTGGTCTCCAACTCCTGACCTCAAGTGATCTGCCCACCTCTGCCTCCCAGAATGCTAGGATTATAGGCATAAGCCACTGCTCCTGGCCTAAAATGATTTCTTTATTATATTAATATCTGGGTTTTCTCATTCTCTGCTTATTTTATACTAAGAACACAGTATGGAGTTGAACTTTGTGGATAGAGAGGATGGTTAGCTTGCATACACTGTTCATTGGGAGCCAGTACTAACAGACAAACAATAATAAGGTGGCCAGATTCGGGGTGAAAGGAACAGACTCTATCCTGTGTATCCAGGCAAAGTCACATTTGTGCCACTGATTAGGTTATTATCTTTTATGACACACTTGGGAGTGGGAAAACTTACGGACGCATGTTAAGCAGGTCCTGGAATCCTTCCATTGACTTGGCTTTTTGCCCCCGGGATGCCATGTACTTGTCTTTTGTCCAAGTCATGTGTACCTTCTCCTGATAGGTTTCTGTCTCTTCATCCTCATCAGAGCCAATGCTGGTCAATCGTAGCATTGAGTTTCGATCTTTCACCAACTGTGCCTGAGGAAGGTCCAACACAAGTTATTCTACCAAATTTTTCTCTCATGCTTCATCTTCAGTTATTTTGAAGTAATAATGGGGTTATAGTGGAATAACTGACAGAATGAGAAGGAAAGAATTTGTCATCCTGTGAAAACAATATAGTATCATCCCTTTCAGTGACAGACTTTAGAGAGCCAGGATTGGATTGATGCAGTAAGGTCTCACCTCTCTGTCTCGCTCTGTTTTGGATAGCCGCATGTGCCGGAGCATCTGGGACCTCTGCTCCATCATCAAAGTGCGCTCGTAAGTATAAGCTGATATGTCACTGTCATGCTGCCATAGACATCACACAAAGGGGGCAAAAAGCACAAAGGAGAAAGAAGGATGAACCACACATTTTTATTTCTAGTCACTAAATTAAACCAGGGAAAGCCTCACAATAATTAACCTAAGTTTCATCCCTATTTTGTTTAGTCATTGAGCTAGATAATGTTTTTGTGACTGTTGATAAAATCCAGAGGCCCTGAGAATCTTTTTCATGATCTAACCAATACACGTGTTGCCTTGAAACACAAAACACAAACTCTAGTCATTTTAATACTGTTCGATTTTTTTAAAAGCCATGTGTGATTTTAAGCTGAATATATGAATTAAAATTTCATAGGACTATATTAAGTAGATGAGAATCTGGCAGAAATATCAGGGCTGTGTCATAAACAAGAATGCAAAACCAAAAAGCAACATCAAACATGCATCACATATACATCCTACTTAGGTCAACAAATTAGGGTGGGTTTTTTTTTTTTTTTTTGGCACTAGGAGATTAATCCACATTTAGAGCTGAATAATTTCCCAAACCAGAAAAGATTCAAGGAAGACAGGGAGAGGAATGGGGGAATGAACCTCTTGTATCTCAAACTCAGCTTTCTCACCATCTCCACCACTTCTACCTCCGCCTCAATGCGCAAGTGATACAGGAAGGTGGCTAGGTCCTTCTTCATTTGGATACTGTTGTCTTCTAGTTGGGCTACTGTGAAGATCCGTATGCTGCACTTTCGCCACACCTTAGAGAAAGACATATGTATATGGAAAATTAGAGCAAGGAGGCAAAAAAAGTTACTTCCTAAGAGACACTGTGGTCTAGAAGAACCTTGCTATATATAGTATGAAGGTATTTGTTCCTAGCTTCCTACTTGCTATGTTATTGTATTAGGGCAAAAGATTGACTAAACACATTTAATACAGTTTTAAGGAGTCCTTAATTTCATAACAAGAAAACACTGGCAAAAGAAAAGACGGCTCATGATACATTAACAGGGTGCTTTACTCAGATAGTACATTGATGACAACATGCAGACTACAATATTTACTATTTTAAATTTCAATTTAGTCTTACCACAGAATGGGCATGTATATGTGTGCAATATACACACAACAGGCAGGTTTCAAATAGTAAGACAATGATTTCTCTTAAGGTTGAAATTAGAATCATTGGAGAGCCCAGAATAACTTCCAGCTCTTCTGATTCTAAGCCCCAACACATATAATCAAAGGAAGAATCTGTCTAGTGAAACAGGACAAAAGGGAGAAAGACTTTTGTGGAAAAAAAGGTGTCTAAAATACCTTGTGCTGTTTCAGTAGGAATGGTAGTAGCATGAGCATCCCCCCATCATGCACAATCCACCACACATCAATGTTGCCTTCAGAAAATTGTTCCACATTGCTGGGAAAGAAGGAGATGTTTTTAGCCACCAGCAGTGCGAGATGGGCAGCAGTTGTCACTCGAACTGTGCCTAGGGAGAAAAAAGAATAAGCAGAGAAGACTCCTTAGGCTTGTGTTGCTTCTGATCACATCAGGAAAGCAAGCAAATGCTCTTTTTATACTTATTTGAGCAAGGGGTCCTATCTACTTAGTAGGTTATATCTCATTAAGTAACAAAAATCATTGTAAAAAGTCTGAGTAGCTAACAGAATTAGACTGAGAACCATAATTTGTGTTACTAGGTATATTCTGATTACTACGTTTCTAAGGGGGGATATGTGAATTTGGGAGATTTATGATGCTGAAGAACAATCCTTCCAATTCCTGTGAGGACATCAATATGGAAAATCACATATGAAAAAATGGCAATTTTGGAGATAATTTCTAGCACAAGACCTGACAGAAATAAGTAATTCATGAACATAGTGTGAAGCTGAAGGGGATGGGCAGAATCTGGGTATTTCTACTGGTAGTGTTTTGGGTTGCCATATAAGACTACGCTTCAGCCATGGAATAGCATCTATTTTAGGAGGCTAGGGTGACAAAGATTTAACTATATCCCCTTGACTTAGGCCCTTAGGTTTGTATGAGAAATGGTTGGTACCAATAAAAGTCTTCCAAGCACGAGCATCTTCGCTTTGACGCCAGCCATTAGGCCAGCCCATCACCACCGTGTTGTGCTTCATGCCCCCAAGGCCACATGACTGGATGAGGTGGGAAATGCCCTCTCTCAGTTTGGCGGCCACCACCAGTTGGCAGAATCCTTTTACCTTCTCTGCCTCCATTAGGTGCTTTATGGTCTGAAAGAGACACAGGAGCACAACACTAAACTGCTTCACTCTGGACCTTTTAACCCATTATTCCTTCTCCATATTATATCCCCAACCTGTTTCCAAAGTCTGCATAAAACTGTATCACCTACAGAAAAGTCCAAAAAGTTAAAATTATCCCAAAGGAGTTTCATGATCTTTTGTCTTTTTCACTTTCTAAGTGCTGACTACATATTTTTACCTCTGTAGCTGGTTGTCTACATGCAGTTTCTGTGCTTTTCCTTTTCCTGCTTTTTTTCCTTTATACCATACCAAAAAACTGGGAACAGGGTTCTCTACAAACTGACTATTCAACATTCTCAATTGACCAGGGTGATTCACTAGTGTGAACACGATCTTCTTCCTGCCTCAGCCCCAGTCATGCCCTGACTCATCTTACCAGAAATTCAATATGATGATTCAGTTTCACTTTAGAATTTTTTCAGGTATGTTTTCTTTTTTGCTTCTCCCATTCTCATATGCTTTTTGACATTTTAATGGTGATTATTTATGACACTTGTAGTTGCATTACCATTCCTGTATTTAGTCAAGCCAATTTGGAGATATCATCTCATTTACTCTTACGCCACCCTCTTGGTGGGAAAAGGAAGGGAATAATGGTGTGGAAAATGGAATGATTTTCACAAAGGCACAGATTAAATTAGTGATATGACTAAGAACTAGGCTATCCTGATTTTCAATCCTGTGTACCTTTTATTAATTTTTAGCATTATTCTGGACTAATGTTTCCTCAGCATTTCTAGTGTTTAGGATTTCATGAGCATTCCAAAATGAATGCCACTGAACACAATGGCATTTCAAAAACAATAGGATTAGTTCTATCATATATAGTAAGTATGAGAGTGAAAACAACTTCCTTGTTAAAGAACTTTAGTGTTCAGAACAGCTAACCAGAAGTAGCAAAGGAATCTTACTCATGATACTGCATAGATTAGTAAAGAGGAAGAAAATTTGGTCAGTACTCCTTGTTGTCACAAGATTGAGAGGAATCCTCTCCAAAATTCAAGGAATCAATTTATTTACATGACTCTTCTCAGTGCTGAGATTAATGCTTGGAGTGTATTTAAAAATAATGTTTAGACTTAATAATCTTATAATCTAGTAATGTTTTAAATGGGAAGAAAGAATAACTATTTTCTGGCTCATCTTTATTATTTGGGAGAAAGTGTCTGAAGGTCAGCACTAAGTGAGAGACCTCCTAGATCACTCAGGAACAAGATTCAAGTAGAAGTTTGAGGTTTTACTACTTAGCATCACAAAGCTGTAAACTGAGTTCCGATACCTCCAAAGGCTGACTCTTACCTGCTCAGCAGCTAAAGCTTCACCATAGTTCTCTAGGAAGTTCCCCACGATGACAGAGCCCACAATAGTGAGACCTTTTCCTGCTTTGAGCTGTGAGGCAAAGGTGAGGAGGCGAGGATGCTTGACATGTAAGTCTTCATCTAGTTTCAGTAATACAAGCAACTGAGGCCTGTGAAGAGGTTGGTGGGGGTTGGAGGGGAGGAGAAAACATTTTGGGTTTGGGGAAAAGAATGAAAGACTCCACCCTTTAATTCAGGAGATCTGTATAAAACAGGTAACTTGACAGAAGGAAGAGATCACAGGAAATGACAGGATGAGAGTATTATTTTGAATGTTCCCAGTACTATCTCAAGTTCATCAGTCTTCAAGGAAGAATAATAAATTGTAGAAATCTTGATCATAAATGACATGAAGAAAAGGGAATAAAAAATTAAGGATTTAGAATAGTTCGAAACAGGTCCATTATACCAATTTCTTGAGCCACAAGGTTTTCTTATCCTGTAACCAACAAAGCACATATTTTTGTGTGTTAACTATGTGCCAAATACCGCTAGTGTTGATTTCTTTACCTCCAGTTTTTAGTGTGTGGAGGTCCTTCCTCCAACCGGAGCAAAGCAAACCGGGCTGCACTGAGGGACAGCCCACGGATACCATCACCCCATTCTTTCTCAGCTCTGTGAGAAAAAGAAAAGAGCAGAGACAAATTTAAACTATAGTAAGCATAATTTTAAATAATAACCTTTTTTTTCTGAATTTAAAAATCACATATGTACAAGGTAGAAGATTAAAACCCAGATTAATGATAAAATGTTCTTTACTAACATAATGAACCTGCTGTAGGCAGATCAACAAACAGCACCCTGCACCAAGAGACTGCATGGCATAAATAGTTCAGAATAAAGCCTGAAGGGGTCACTCATTCAGTCCTTCTATGTAATTCTTTAAAAGCAATAATGTAAAACAGCAATTTAGATTAGAAAATTATAACGGACCTGGAATTTAAGTTACTTTGAAAATAATGCAGAGAAAGGAAAGTTCAGTGTAATCTGCTGAATATTATTTAGTCCTCATTTTTGAAAGTTGTAAGTCTTAGTAGTCACAAAGTTGTTCAGAACTAATTTCTTTTTCATTTCAGAGACAATCCCTTGACTGAAAAGATGAGCAAAAATATTTATATTTGTGTTGTACTTTGTTTAGTATGAATCATTATTTGAATATGTCCTTTGTTATTTTCCATTGATCCATTCATACTTTCTCATTGGATTTCTGTTGTGATCAAAGTTTGCATCAGTAAGATGGTTAGAGAATTAGGGGTACAAAATATAGTTATGAACAAAATGAAATTACCTGAGTCCTTAATGTATTTTCACTGAGCTGGCTCTAATTAAACTAGCTAGTCTTGCTACTTTTAGCTGTGATCAAGATTAAATCCACACTCACCCTTGGTACTCAATGTACTTGTAGATCATACCAGCTATTACCATGGCTACAATGGCATAATACCAGGAAGAAATGAACATCAGAGCCAGACAGATACTCATTCCCATGAAAGAAAGGGCCCTAAAAAATTAAAAACAAAACAAATACCAAAAAGTATTTTTTTAAAGTAGCTGAAAAAGAAGCCTACGTTAGAGGTGCTTCTCCAATTATCTCTAGTGAGGGATTATTAAAAACTTTGAAACTATTATAAATAGAACTTTTATAAAATGCAATAAAAATGAATTCTTAATTATCACAAGCCTGGATGCTGTAGCAATGTCAAACTGACACAAAAGTTTCTAAATGCTTATTCTCAGTTCTATAGTTGTCTTATTATGAAACAGTCAGTAGATGGGCACTAAACTCCAAACTGTACTTTGCATTAGATGTTTCCAACTGCTGGAAAAACATAAATAACAGAACACTATGAAAGTCATCTGTAGTTCTGAGGACAATTAATACTTACGTGGCAAAGCAGGAATGGACACACAGTCAGAAATGTTAATAACTCTAGGATCTTTTAAAAAATTTTCATGTAAATATTTCCAAAATTTTATAAATATTTATTAGCATAACTGCAGAACTCACTGAGAAAAATTTGCATTTTTGGACTGTACATAAGAGAAACCTGGCAGACAATAAAGAATTACTTGTTTTGATCACACAAATTAGGTAGACAACTACATTTACTGAAGGTTTTCTGTGTACAGAACGAATTTCCTAGCTCTATAATGAATTTTAAAGAATGAACAGGAGATTAATCTGGAGAAAACTAGGATGTAATGAAAATATAAGGTAAAGAGAAAGAGGAAAAATAGAAGCAGGATAGCAACGAAAAGAGTTCATAAAGAATTTTTTTTTTTTTTGAGATGGAGTTATACTCTTGTTACCCAGGCTGGAGTGCAATGGCACAATCCCGGCTCACCACAACCTCCACCTCTTGGGTTCAAGCGATGGTTCAAGTGATTCTCCTGCCTCAGCTTTCCGAGTAGCTGGGATTAGGAATGCGCCACCATGCCCGACTAATTTTCTATTTTTAGTAGAGACAAGGTTTCTCCATGTTGGTCAGGCTGGTCTCGAACTCCCGATCTAAGGTGATCTCCCCGCCTTGGCCTCCCAAAGTGCTGGGATTACAGGTGTGAACCACTGCACCCGGCCGCATAAAGAACTTTTAACTAAAGTTAAAGCAACAAAGGGCATTAGAGGCATTAAAAATCAGTAGAAGATTTAAATTTTTGCCCAGTAAAGGTTACATCACTGCCCACCACTGGTAAGTGAAGTCAGAAAGGGAACAAGGAGAAAGTCAGTAAAGAAGAATGTAGCAACAGGTACATAAAGGACATAATTAATGAGCACTTAGCTATGAGAGGAAAGAGATGGGATGACAGCCAAAATCTTTCATGATGACCCCTTCAGGACTGCGGAGACTTAACTACAATAGCAACAGTAGCAACAGTTAGTTGAGAGCAGAGCTTTACTATGTACCAAACACTATGATAAGTACTTTAGATTTATTAGTTCCATTTTACAAATGAATAAAATTAAATTTTACATGGTTATGTGCTTTGCTGAAGGGTACAAAGGTAGGACATAGTAGAGCTGAGATTGGAACTTAGATCATCTGACTCCGTAGCCCTAAGGGACAAACAGGCAAATAAATATGCAAGAGAAGGCTGTTTTAACCTAAAAATTATAGCAGGCTGGAAATAACTATTCTGTGCTTTTGCTCTATTCTTATTGGGTGTTACAAGTTATTATGAAGTGATACAGGAAAATAGGACGAGGGGTGAGGATTCAGTTAAGAATTCAAAGTTGAAATAGTATAAAATGGCTGACAAAGAAAAAAATTTTATCAAGAAGCCAGATTCTCCTAGTTTTCTAGTTCAAAGATGGGTTCTCTTCAAATGTGAGTAAAAAGAAGAGAAGAAGCAGACTTACCAATGGTAGTAGCGGAATCGGGGTCTCCAGTTGGGTGTTCGAAGTAATGTTTGCAAGGCACATGCCAAGTTTACAAAGAGGTAACACATGAGAAAAAACCTGAAGAACAAAGAAAGACGAATGATTATTACTGTTAAGATGATTCTTTTGAGGGTTAAGTAACTGGAGACCTTTGCTGTACTGAAGCCTGTTTCTAGACAACTAACCCCTGATTAAATAGGAAGCAGAGAAACTTAAACCTCTCCCCACAAACCTGCTGATCCTTCTCTGCTCTCTCAATGACACGACCACTCTTTACCCAGTCGTTCTTAGGATAATCCAGGTTTCATCTTCCTTACCCTTGTTCCAAATTCACTTACCAAGTCCTACGGATTCTACTTAAAAATCTCTAAGCTGCTTCTCTTCCTTTTCATCTCTACTACTAATCACCTTAGCTGAGGCTCTCATATCTTCTTTCCAGTTAGCATTCCCAGCTCAATTCTAGCCTCCTTTAAATCCATCTTTTATACCAGACTGATCATCCTAAAGCATTATCATTTTGTTCTCAAAGATTACCCACTACTTCCAGGTCCTCTGTGATCTGGTCTACCTACTTCTCTATTCTGCTATTTCCTCAATATGCACCCTCCCCTCTAGCCAAACTACTTCCAGTTCTCCGGATGTGCTACCTTATATCATTCCTTAATTCCTTTAGACACATTCTCTGCCTGGAATGGCTGTCATACCTTCTTTTCTTAGCAAATAACCAGTCATTCTTCAAGATACAAGTATCACTTCCTCCATGAAATCTTTCTTGCATTTCTGTCTGTTTAGATGTCTTGCTTTGCTGTTCCTGTGGTACTCAGTGTTCACCTTCAGCATGGCACTCATCACACTATATATGGATCATTGGTTTCCTTATCCATTATCAGTGCCATAAGACTGTCTTATCCATTTTTGTATTCCCAGAATACCATATTACACAGTACCAGGTAAGTAGTAAGCCATCAGTAAGCCACAGGTGAATAAATAAAAAAACTAACAGTGGTCATAAAAGCTACAACCAATTGATAATGAATTAGAAATGAAGCCAAAGAACTTCTCAAGTTAAATAGGTAGGCAAAAACCTAATAACTTATAAAAGTTAGTGCTACTTGAAGGTTCTCAGAAATGATTTTTATTTAAGTGAAGTTACATCTGTCTTTAGCCCACTCTTGTCACTACCGTTACATGAGTAATGGAAATAAACATGAATTATTTATTATTTAAACAAGAAAAATTGAAGAGAATCACTGGTTCTTACATGGAAAGAATTGGGGCCACAAGATCCAGGGAGGCAATAAGTATTCCAAGCTCTGCAATGGCAGCAGTTAGAAGTAAAGCCCAGGTAGGTTCCCCATTGGCTTTGCTGTGGCCAAAAACCTGTGCACAGAAGGGAAATATCAGGCATAGGAGTACTAAGTCAATGCTGTCTGATTCCTCCAGCCTACAGTTTCAGACATCTGGAAGACAACAGTGTTACAACTGTGGTATCTTTTAAACAGCATTACAGACTCACATGTAAACTTACGCTTGCAATTTAGAGGGTCTTGTGCTAAAAACCCATGTCTCTACATTTATGATCTAGTAATTTCTAAGCCCATGAAGACCACACTGTTTCTCATTAAAGCTGGGAAAAAAAGAAGAGGGCATTAAAAAAGGTAACTTACCCTCAGAAACGGTATGATGTTATCCTTAGCAATAGCTTGTAGCAGCCTTGGTGCACCTGTGAGGCTCTGAAGTCCGGCCCCACACGTTGAAAAGAAGGAGCCAATAACAATCACCCACGGGGATGGCCAAGATAAGGTGCCCACCACCAAATTACCTTTCACAGCATCCCCAAACCTGGGAAGGAAATAGAAGTGGGGAAATTTAATCTGGAAATAACTTTAGACTGAAATACTAGAGAGACATTTACCCCCCTTTTTTTTTTCTCTTTCTGTCTCACTCTATCACTCAGGCTGGAGTGCAGTGGCGCAATCTAGGCTCACTCCAAAGTCCGCCTCCAAGTTCAAGTGATTCTCCTGCCTCAACTTCCCGAACATCTGAGATCACAGGTGTGCACCACCACACCCAGCTAATTTTTGTATTTTCAGTAGAGACAGGGTTTCACCATGTTGCCCACGCTGGTCTCAAATTCTTGATCTCAAGTGATTTACCTGCCTTGGTCACCCAAAGTGCTGGGAATACAGGGGTGAGACACGGCGTCTGGCCCACTCATTTTTTTTTTCCCATTTATAAGTTTTAGAGAATCAAAAATGAGACAAATAATATTATGAAATATAAAGATAGCCAGATTTGATCAAAAGGCACTACTGACCTGTATTAGGAAAAAATACATTTGGGCTAGAAAATAAGCTAAGCTTCAGGTATAACTTTCCCCTTCAGGATATCAAAAATATATGCTTTTTAGAAAAATTGAGATCTCACTGAACCTATAATTTTCCCCTTCAGGGTATCAAAATATATAACCTTCTCCTTCAGGGTATCAAAAATATCTGCTTTTTAGAAAAATTGAGATTTCACTGCACCTATAATTCTGTATTCTTAAAACATAAGCATTTTTCTATGTCATAAAAAGCTATGAATAAAAATTTGTAGTGATTTGAATAACAGTATTCAAGTCTTATGGCACATGCACACGTCACACCAGTCTTATGTATTAAAATAAAAATATTAAGATCACTGCTTTTTTTTTTTTTTGAGATGGGGTTTCACCATGTTCGTCAGGCTGGTCTTGAACTCCCGACCTCAGGTGATCCACCTGTCTTGGCCTCCCAAAGTGCTGAGATTACAAGCATGAGCCACCATGCACAGCCTGATCACTGCTAATTTGATGGGTGAAAGATGGCATCAGTTTAATTACTTAACAACTTTTAGTAAGCACACAAAAAGTAATGTGCAAAAAACAACAAATGTACATCTGAAGATTTCCACAAAGCAAACACCTATGCTCCATGCTCAAGAAACAGAACATTGCCAGCACCCAAAATTCTCTCTTATGCCCATTCCCAATGATAAGCTCTTTCTTCCTCTCCACTATTTACTCTCCTGACCCTTTTTTTTTTTGAGACAGGGTCTTGCTTTGTCACTGAGGCTGGATGGTAGTGCTGTGATTATGGCTCACTGTAGCCTTGACCTCCTGGGCTCAACTGATCTTTCTGTCTCAGCCTCCCCAGTAGTTGCACTACAGGCATATGCCAACAGGCCCAGCTAATTTTTTACTTTCTGTAGTGACAAGGTCTTGCTATGTTGCCTAGGTTGGTCTGGAACTCCTGACCTCAAGCACTTTTCTAGCCTTAGCCTCCCAAAGTGCTGGGATTACAGGCATGAGCCACCATACCCAGCCTGCTGACTTTGAACACTATGTAGTTTTGCCATTTTAAAACTTTATATAAATGATATACAGTACATACTTTTATGTTTGGTTTTGTTCACTTAGCATTGCTTGTGAATTTTTTGGGGGGGTATATATTGCTATGACTTACTTTCACCTCCATATGGTTTACTATTTCATGAATATATAATTTAATCATTCTACTAGTGATGGACGTTTTTATTATTTCCAGGTTTTGGCTATTAGTAATAATACTTATGAAGGGAAAATGAAGCGGTCAAAACAAAAACAAAAACAAAAACAAAAAAACACTACTGTGAAAAATCTTGTTAATTATTCTTGATGCATAATGTGCAAGCATTTCTATTAGATATACGTGGATGTTCTTCTTTAGGAGATAATAACCAATAGTTTTCCAAAATGATACTCTAATTTACAGTCACAATAATAATTTTTATATTATCGTGTAACTTACCAAAGCTCCATGAATTTCCTATTACAAGGGTATAGTAATATACTATACTACATACATACATATATACACCCACACATATATACTGTATTACATACATATATATACACTGTGCTCTTCATTTTTGTCAACAATATTTATATTGCATCTATTAGGCTTTGAGTCCTCAAAGAGCTCAATGTGTAGAGTGATATGAAAACAAGTAGCTGCAATATAGCATCATAAATACCATAAAATAGTATATTCTAATAGAGTGGCTGAACAAAGGGAGGAGTGTTTACCTCTGTTTGGGTGAGTATGGGAAAGCTTTACAGGAGAGAAGACCCTTAGCCTAGTCTCTTAGAGGATGAATATGAGCTAGCTAAGTGGGAGTAACCTATTCTAAACAAAGGAAACAACAAAGACAAATGTTTATACAAGTGGAGATATAACAAGACATATTAAACTCTAAGTTAGGGAATTTATGAGGGAATGGCAGGAGATAAGAGGTAGAGAGGGCCAGATCACAGTGACAGATTTTTTTATTTTTTGAATCAGAGTCTTGCTATGTCACCAGGCTGGAGTGCAGTGGCGTGACCTCGGCTCACTGCAACCTCTGCCTCCTGGGTTCAAGCAATTCTCCTGCCTCAGCCTCCTGAGTAGCTGGGACTACAGGCATGCACTACCACGCCCAGCTAATTTTTGTATTTTTAATAGAGACAAGATTTCAGCATGTTGGCTAGGATGGTCTCAAGCTTTTGATCTCATGATATGCCTGCCTCAGCCTCCCAAAGTGCTGGAATTATAGGTGTGAGCCACCACACCCAGCCAGTGATGGATTTTAAGAGGCACTGGCAGGTGCCGCAGCAGGGAGGTTTTCATGTTCAATTTTGTGTTTTAGAAAAGCCATTCTGGCGGCAGTGTGGAGGAAGGATTAGAGGGTAGAACTAAAAGGGAGATTATTACAATAACATAGGCAAAAATTCTGAAGGCCTGTACAAAGTGAGTGACGTGGACAAAGAATAGGAGACAGATCCGTGTAGTGTGGGAAATTTTAAAAAAAGAATAGGGGAAAGGGCTGAGGATGGTGGGTTATGTCTCTAAGCCTAGCACTTTGGTAGGCTAAGGTGGGAGGACTACTTGAGCCCCGGAGTTTCAGACCAGCCTGGACTAAATAGTGAGGCACCATCTTTACAAAACAAACAAACAAACAAACAAACAAACAAAAAAACTAGCTAGGTGTGGTCCCAGCTACTTGGGAAGCTGAAAAGGGAGGACCGACTGCTTGATGCCAGGAGTTTGAAGCTCTAGGGAGCTATGATTGCACCACTGCACTCTAGCCTGGGCAACAGGGCAAGACCTTGTCTCTAAATAAATAAGTAGAAAAGAAGAGAAAAGAACAGAAGATGAAGAAAGTTAAATTTCAGGCTTTGATTTAGAATGCCAAACACAATTAGATACTTATCTTTCATAGAGGAGATGCTAGAGACGCAATTTTTTTTTTTTTTTTTGAGACAGAGTTTTGCTCTTGTTACCCAGGTTGGAGTGCAATGGCGCGATCTTGGCTCACCGCAACCTCTGCCTCCTGGGTTCAAGCAATTCTCCTGCCTCAGCCTCCCGAGTAGCTGGGATTACAGGCACGCGCTACCATGCCCAGCTAATTTTTGTATTTTTAGTAGAGACAGGGTTTCACCATGTTGACCAGAATGGTCTCGATCTCTTGACCTTGTGATCCACCCGCCTCAGCCTCCCAAAGTGCGGGATTACAGGCGTGAGCCACCGCGCCCGGCGACACCTGAAATTTTTTTTACTTGCTCTGCTTACTTTTGGTCTCGTTTCTGAACAGTTCTTTATGTACAGGTAAGTCATTTTTCAGACAAATTCACTGCTTTTTTGAAGAACTATAACTGTCTTACATATTTCCTAGAAAATACTGGCCCCTTTGGGAACTACATACATATATTTTCTTATTGTTAGTCATAAATCATAACTCAGGTTGGGTTATTTTTTTGAGAAAGCATCTCACTTTGTCACCTACACTGGAGTGCAATGGTGTGATCTTAGGTCACTATAGTTTTGTCTTCCCAGGCTTAAGTGATCCTCCCACCTGAGCCCCGCAAGTAGTGGAGACTGCTGGTGCACACCACCACACCTGGCTAATTTCTGTGCTTTTGGTAGAGACAGGGTTTTGCCATGTTGCTCAGGCTGGTCTTAAACTTCTGAGCTCAAGCAATCCACCCGCCTTGGCCTCCCAAAGTGCTGGGATTATAGGCAGGGGCCACAGTGCCTGGCTGTGTTGAGTTTGTAACTGTCTTGGAGCTATGTGGCACGATCAGAAGTCATGGCAGACAGAAACAGAATTGTTACAAAGAGATTAATTACTCACTTGTCTCTGAGAACAACCCCTTCAATACATGCACCAAAAAGGACAACATTGCTTAAATCTACCATATTGAGAGTCAAGGAAACTACTCTAAAATGAGATAGAAAGTAGACACTCAGAGTATTTCTTCTATCAGTAAAATGAGTTGCTAAATACTCCTATAAATTCTTTTTTGAATTTTCTTTATGAGGTGGACAGATTATCTGGCAAGAAATGAAGTGACAGGAAGGAGGTATCTTTGTTACCAGGATAAAAATACTGACCATCTAGTTACGTTCCTATGACTAAGACTCAGACCAGATCCATAAAAGGATACAGACAAAGGAGGTGGTCAGGATGGCAAGGATAGTACCAATGGGAATAGACTTCTGAGCATCTTTCAGATCTCCAGATCTGTTTGATCCAGCCATGATACCTTTAGAGATAAGGAGAAAAAATGAAGTTAACTTCTTGGATACTTTGATATTGATACTGATAGCAAAGACTAGAAGCAAATCTAGGAACCATGAGAATTCTGCTCCCCTGAGAAAAATCACTTCCTGGGTCTGACAGCTTCTAAATCAGACAACAGCTCATGTGCTTACCTGTAACAGAAGGAAAGAAGATTCCCACCAGAAGCGTGAAGGAGGTGGTGATGTCAACAAGAACATATTCATGGTTTAAGCTGCCTAAGACATCAGAAGATTTGGCTGAAGGCTTTTCAATGATCTCTCCCTTGGGCAGGTAATTACTCCAAAGATTCTCTACAGTGGGAAAAATGGGAATTTAAGCAGCAGCAGTATGGAAAGAAGATAATTAGATAATTTTCTACCCAAACAACTCAAAATCAGATTCCTCATTTATACAGTTTCTAAAGGTGTGTCTGCTTCTACGTGAGCACATGTACACGAACATACTGTACAATAAAACACATATAAATAAAAATATAGTGCTCTTTCTTATCTAGTTTAAATATAATTTGACAAAATGATTTGGTACATATAAATGCAGTTTAACTTTACTAATGCAAACCAGTAAAAGTTAAACAGACTAAAACTAAATGCTCCACAAATCCCATTAATATTTATTAAGCATCAATGCCGTTTCTATCACCTTAATGTAAACTTACTTTTGTGCAAAGAATTTCTAGACCAAACATTTATGATAGAAGTCACTTAGCCAGGCACGGTGGCTCAAGCCTGTAATCCCAGCACTTTGGGAGGCCGAGGCAGGTGGATCACGAGGTCAAGAGATCGAGACCATCCTGGTCAACATGGTGAAACCCCGTCTCTACTAAAAATACAAAAAATTAGCTGGGCATCATGGCGCATGCCTGTAATCCCAGCTACTCAGGAGGCTGAGGCAGTAGAATTGCCTGAACCCAGGTGGCAGAGGTCGCAGTGAGCCGAGATAGCGCCATTGCACTCCAGCCTGGGTAACAAGAGTGAAACTCCATCTCAAAAAAAAAAAGAAGTCACTTAAGGAATGTTTCAGGAATTTAGCTAAGGAAGATATATGTGGGTGTGGACATTCAAACAGTTCTGTCAGTGTAGGAAGAGCACTGGCAATTTTACAAGAATACACAGAATATTTTATCCTAAGGTTAGAAAGTGATTTGCTCAACTCTGCTCTGAAATGGAAGTGAATGTTAGCAGATACCACTCTGTAAAGGAGTCCGAAATAAGGACAGCTTTACTAATGGAAAAACAGAAATATGTTGAATTAAGAGCTGTGTGGCATGCTTAAGAAGGCAAGTAGCACCATGGCAGTTAATCTTTATGGACAGTAGAAGAATCTAAGATGACAAAGCCTATTTTCCTCAGAAAACAGTAAAAACCTTGTCCAATAACTCCCTAACTTACCTGTAATGATACCACTAGCCAACCCAGGAATGCCCTGGATTGAAGTGACATTATTGTGAACAAAGTATTCATCACAGGTGGCATTGAAAAACTGACTCGAGTTACAAAAGAATCTCCATAACTTTGACGGGACTGTCATGTTGTTAATTTCCTTGGTCTTAGAACAAACGTCAATGTGTCTTGATGAAAGGGTGCGGTTACCCAGCATGCAGACCCTAAGTGAAAAGAAATAGGGAGAGAGATCAAGTAAGGAAAAAAAATACATAAAAAAAAAAAAAGTAAACAGGTTAGTAAAGAAAGGAAACAAGAACCTCATCTCCAAGAGCTTCTACTATCAAGGGTAGGAAAGAAACTAATGTTTATTTATTTATAATTTATTTTAGCACTGCGAGTGATAACTTACATTTTCTGCCAATTTAATCCTTACAGCAATATCACGATGTATTAGAATTCCTATGTTGTAGATGAAGTTATTGAAGTTCAGGAAGTTAGGGAGTTAATTGAAGGTTAGGGAAATACAGTTCTCTGTCCAAGGTCATAACTGGCAGGTGGCAGTAACAGAACTCAAACTGAAGAACTGTCTGAAGACATTATGCTGATTCATCTTCCAAAATTTTTGGCTAAAATTGTTAGGTCTACAAGAATACTGAAGTCCTTTTGTTGTTCTTATAAAGAAAAAAGCACTCCTATTTTTTTGGCCTAGAAAAGCCTGACATTAATAAAAACACCTTGAAAATGTTATGCTAAAGGTCGAAACTTCTGGCTACTGTTGCAAGGAAAACAGCTTGGCCAGAATTAAAAGGCAAATTCCTCGATGGCCTAACAGAAAACTGTTTTTGAACTTATGCCTAGACCCAGTGGGAGTGAGGGTAACTATAACACAAATATCAACTACTGGTTTTATTTTTTTCTTTAACCCAGAGACACAAATATAAACAAAGGAATAATACATTCATAGTTAAAATACCTCTCAGATTCAACACTTTTAAAATTTGCAAAATGATTGCATACATTATTATGAACCATGTATCTATTACTCAGCTTCAACAACTCTCAACATTTCCCAGCCTTGTTTCATGTATTCTTCTAGATCTGTCTTGTTTTGCTGGAATAGCTCAAAGAATGCCACGCAATTATGACTGTGTACTGATCAAAGAAGAGGAGAAGCCTCAAAGGTTAACTTGAGGCAAAATGTAATTTCCCAAGTTGAGATACAGCCAGACTGTCAACTTTAGAACTTTTATGACTCTAAAAAGGACCTTCAGCTATATTACAGTCCCTAGATAAGCAGATTAAAAGTTTAAGATGGAATCTACTTCTGCCATCATATAGCATGGCATAAAAGACATAATGAATGGGGAGTCATAAAATCACAGTTCACCTTCTTGCTCTGCCATTTATTAACTTTGAGGTAAGTCATTAAGCCTCACTGGACCTTTCTTTTTATCTTGAAAAATCTTTTTTTCTGTAATCTGGTTAAATCAACATAGGACCAATGAGTTTGATACTCAGATAAGCCAGATGACTTTTCAAGATAATCCTGTAACAAGACTACAAATAACACTCAGTGCCAGCTAGTCCCTATGCCACTAGTCAAAGGGAAAAGTGGGCCTATGAGTCACAGATCTGCATAAATCCATTACTACTTCAAAAAACATACTTTAAGGTATTTGTACTACAGAGTTGAAGGGGGAAGTGGATGATAAGAGAGTACTTAATGGGTACAAAATACATTATTTGGGCAATAGATAAAAGCCCTGACTTAGGCTGGGTGCAGTGGCTTACACCTGTAATCCCAGCACTTTGAGAGGCTGAGGTGGGCAGATCACTTGAGTTCAGGAGTCCCACACCAGACTGGCCAACATGGTGAAACCCTATCTCTACTAAAAATTCAAAAATTAGCCAGACACAGTGGCCTGTGCCTGTGGTCCCAGCTACTCAGGAGGCTGAAACTGGAGAATCACTTGAACCCGAGAGGTAGAGGTTGCCCACACAGTGCCACTGCACACTCCAGCATTAGCGACAGAACAAGACTGTCTCAAAAAAAAAGGCCAGGCTCAGGTGATGGTGGATCACCTGAGGTCAGGAGTTCGAAACCAGCCAGACTAACATGGCGAAATCCTGTCTCTACAAAGAAAGAAAAAATTGTTGGGTGTCGTGGCATATGCCTATAATCTCAGCTACTTGGGAGGCTGAGGTGGGAAAACTGCTTGAACCCAGAAGGCAGAGGTTGCAGAAAGCTGGGATCATGCCACCGCACTCCAGCCTGAGCAACAGAGTGAGACTCTATCTCAAAAATAAATGAATAAAAAATAAAAGCCCTGACTTCACCACTATACAATATGTACATCTAACAAAACTACACTTGTACCCTCATAAATATATACAAATTTTTTAAAAAGTTGAAAAAAGGCAGTTGTATTAGAGTTAATATTACATACATATGGAGACATATGCAAATTATTAATATTTCCTTTTATTTTATTAAATATTTTTTTCCTTTGATTCACTTGATTTTTCATTCGTAAAAGAAATCCAACATTTAAATACCAATAGTTCAAAATATGTATAATAAAAAAGATTATGTACAATTATCAGGGAGAAAAACACCTAATATCTGTACCTAAATTATTGTTATAGCTACTAGTTCTACGTAAGAAATTAGAGGATGAACAGGACATAGTTTGCTGGGAGGCTTCCTGCCTAGACAAGGAAGGAAGTCTAACTGGGCTTATCCAAAAGGGAAAATCTCAGAGAGACTCCATAAAATTCTGACTTGGAATTATCATACCACCAGATATTTTCCATTACTACCCAATAAGGGTGGCTAGGCAGAGAGACAGACACGTACGGGAAGTGTGGAGGGGCAAAGGAAGACTTGATGGCTCCAGCATAGATGGCCAAGATAGACACAATGACACAGGCCAGGAAAAGTGAGGCAAACTTGTTCACGTAGCGTACGCCGATAAATACCACTAATACCATAAGGACCAAGAAAGCTGTGCCATAGACACGCATGTTATTTAGCATGGCTGCTGCTTCCTTGAGTGCATCATCACTGCGAAAGATGGCAGCCCGGGGAACGATATATACCTGTTAGGTTAAAAAAAGTACAAAATTAGGTTACTCCAAAAGAAGTAAGTAAAAAGGCTGTAGTTGTTTGCATCTACTTTTGCAAAAGAAAGCAAAGCTAAGACAGAAAATGACTAGAGAATTAGCCTAGTTTCTAATAGGATCTGAAATGCCTAAAGAAATGAGATGTCATGGATATATATATATATATTTTTTGGTCTACATACTGTTCTGAATAGCTGCATTTCCTGATAGAAAGAAAGGGATAAACTAATAATTTTATTCTTAAGGTTACATAAAATAAATATAATAATCATCTTTAACTGATTCTGCTGTCACTACTTTAAATAGTAAACAGTATGTCTCAGTGAATAGAGATATGAGAAATATTTTATTTCATAGGGAAGAAGATATCAAAAAAGATAAACTTTATTTTACTTTTTCCCCATTGGTGCAAGTCTTGCCTCCAAAGCGTGACCCTCTTGGATGAGGTGGCAGAGTGGTGGCAATCAGGTAGAGAAGGAATAGGCAAAGGGAATTTCAATCTTTTCACCTCATATTCACAGTAAGAAGCCAACTCAGGTGGGCAGTCAATCACCTGATTTATTCCTATAGCCAATCTCTCAGAAGCTTTCATATCAAAGAATAAACCCAGATCAATATTTCTGCTACATTATACATCACAATGAAGTCATTACTTACCAGAAAGATTTCAATGGCACCAAGAATGTACATGGCTGCTGCAAATGTGGTACCAAGATAAAAACAGAGGCCAACAGCCCCACCAAATTCCGGGCCCAGGGCCCGGGAAATCATAAAGTATGAGCCCCCAGCTAAAAGACAAAATAGAAGGTGAATAGGAGAAAGAGTGTGTATTAGTAAGAGGAATGTGATCAAGTCATAAATAAGAATAAAAATATACAGGAAGGCTAAATGTTTCAGGCTTCCACAAACCCTGAATGTGATAAAAAAAGACTTGCTTGTGGGAAGTAAAAGATGAAAGGGTTATTGTGGGATATACTGCATATCTAATGTAATGAGCCATATGAAGTAATACAGTTTGCCAGCATTACTTCGAAATAAATTAGAGAATATTTACGACGACTTCAGATAGCCCAATAAAATATATTCTGGCCGGGTGTGGAGGCTCACACCTCTAATCACAGCACTTTGGGAGGATGAAGTGAGAGGCCTGCTTGAGGCCAGGAGTTTGAGACCAGACTGGGCAACACAGTGAGAAGTTATCTCTGCAAAAAATTAAACAAACCGAAACAAAGACCAGGCACAGTGGCTCATGCCTGTAATCCCAGCACTTTGGAGGCCAACACAGGCAGATCACCTGAGGTCAGGAGTTTTAGACAGCCTAATCAACATGGAGAAAACCCTGTCTCTACTAAAAATACAAAATTAACCAAGCATTTTTGCAGGCTCCTGTAATTCCAGCTACTCAGGAGGCTGAGGCAGGAGAACTGCTTGAACCCAGGAGGTGGAGGTTGCAGTGAGCCAAGATCACACCATTGCACTCCAGCCTAGGCAACAAGAGTGAAACTCTGTCTCAAAAAAAAAAAAAAAAAAAAAAAGAGCCAGGCATAGTGGTATACACCTTTAGTTCCAGCTCCTTAGGAGGCTGAAAGGGGAGAGTAGCTTAAGCCCAGGAATCGGAGGCTGTGTGAGCTATGATTCTGTCACTGCACTCCAGCCTGGGTAACAGAGTGACACTCTGTCTATAAATACACACACACACACACACACACACACAAACACACACACACACACATACTTTTCTAACTAATACAAGCTAAGAATATGACTGGAATTAACACATTCTAGTTTAAAAAATAGATTTTTTAAAAGGCATCTTAAAGTCAAGTAGTAGTATGTCTATGTCCTACAGACCATTACTCTGTTGTAGCACAGAACAAACTAAATAGTACTTTTCCTCAGAAGTTTGCACCTCTTGCTTTATAGCATAAACACAGAGTCAACACTGATAAATCCTGAAATACAACCTCGGCCTACTAACCTGGCACCACTCCATTAGTGGCAATGGCACTCATGGAGATAGCAGTCAACACAGTCTGTGGGGAAAGGGAAAGAAGAGCATTGTTACTGTGCAAAGATGACATTTCTATACTACTACTCCACTGGTGTTCCAAGACCACTTGGCAAACATTTAACTCCATCTCCTTTTATGGACAGTCATACCAAATGATATGGAAATAAGATGATATGGTTCAATTCAATGCACTAGTCCAGGCGTCCCCAAACTGCAGCCCCCGATGCCATTTATCCGGCTCCCCGCCGCACTTCAGGAAGGGGTACCTCTTTCACTGGTGGTCACTGAGAGGAGCACAGTATGTGCTGGCCCTCCAACGGTCTGAGGGAACCCTGTGTAATAAGTTTGGGGACGCCTGCACTAGTCATACCATTAATATCTGGAGGATTCTGTCAAAATGCTCCCACATCAGTGGGTCAGGTGCTATTAAGAACTGCTAATCTAGGCCGGGCGCGGTGGCTCAAGCCTGTAATCCCAGCACTTTGGGAGGCCGAGGCGGGTGGATCACGAAGTCGAGAGATCGAGACCATCCTGGTCAACGTGGTGAAACCCCGTCTCTACTAAAAATACAAAAAAAAAACTAGCTGGGCGTGGTGGCGCGTGCCTGTAATCCCAGCTACTTAGGAAGCTGAGGCAGGAGAATTGCCTGAGCCCAGGAGGCGGAGGTTGCGGTGAGCCGAGATCGCGCCATTGCACTCCAGCCTGGGTAACAAGAGCGAAACTCCGTCTCAAAAAAAAAAAAAAAAAAAAAAAAAGAACTGCTAATCTTGTCTGGCCAGTTGCGGTGCTTACGCCTGTAATCCCAGCACTTTGGGAGGCCCAGGCGGGCAGATCACCTGACGTCAGGAGTTCGAGACCAGCTTGACCAACATGGAGAAATACTGTCTCTACTAAAAAATACAAAATTAGCCAGGTATGGTGGTGCATGCCTGTAATCCCAGCTACTCAGGAGGCTGAGGCAGGAGAATTGCTTGAACCCAGGAGGTGGAGGTTGTAGTGAGCTGAAATGGTGCCATTGCACTTCAGCCTGGGCAACAAGAGTGAAACTCTGTCTCAAAAATACAAACAACAACAACAACAACAAAAAACAACTGCTAATCTCACTCTGGATTTCCTAGTTACACAGGAAATAGAGCATAGTACACTCAAAAGAAGTAACTAGAGAAAACAACTCAGAAAATAGGTTAGAACCTGACTAAAGACTAAACACAATACCAAAAACAATATTCAGTAAGAAAGGGAACCCCTGAAGAACATCTGAATTTTGTTTGTTTGTTTGTTTTTTGTTTTGAGACGAGTTTCGCTCTTGTTACCCAGGCTGGAGTGCAATGGCGCGATCTCGGCTCACCCGATCTCGGCTCACCGTAACCTCCGCCTCCTGGGTTCAGGCAATTCTCCTGCCTCAGCCTCCTGAGTAGCTGGGATTACAGGCACGTGCCACCACGCCCAGCTAATGTTTTGTATTTTTTTAGTAGAGGCGGGGTTTCACCATGTTGACCAAGATGGTCTCGATCTCTTGACCTTGTGATCCACCCATCTCGGCCTCCCAAAGTGCTGGGATTACAGGCTTGAGCCACCGCGCCCGGCTAGAACATCTGAATTTTTAAGGAAGGGATAAGAAAAGAGACTTCAAAACAAAATGGAAATAACAATTACCCCTCACATCCCCAATAACCTGTCTTGTTTCTCAAATATACTGGAGTAGAACATCACATTTTCTAACACACTTTGTCACAGCTTTGATGCTATCAAGCTCAAATGGTTCTAATTCTGAATTCTTTGAAGACAGGAACTTCATCTTCTATTTTCATTTGAAGTCTTGCTTTGTAATTTCTAGTATATCATGTAATAGACAGCAAGTAGTGACTAATAGGCACTAAATGACTGAAAATCCTTCAGATTTTAATATCAGAATAATTTCTTCTGTTGAGATCATGAATCCTTTCCTAGTATTCTCTGTTTTATTCCCAAAGAGGTCGTGTGCATCTACTCTTGAGAACTTGCAACGTTCAGGTGATCTCCAGGTGCCAGTGCAGTACTTACACAGCAGCAGCAGATAAGGACAATTGCAAAAGCCTGAAGAACTCCAGCTGTGCCCACCACCCATGTAAGGCGTAAAAAAAGAATCACTCCAAAAATATTTTGTAGACACGGGAGGTAGACACCCATGAAGGTACCCATTTGGGGGGTCTAGAAAGAAAGACATTGACAAAAAATTAAACAGTTATCCTAAAGAGAGGTTTTCAATCTTTTCTATAATAACTTGCTCCCTAATTACCATATTAGTCCAAATGCAGAGATCGTAAGTTTAATCAATATATTCAAAAGGGCACATATAAAATCTCCATCTTTCAAGTGTTTATCACCACACTTTCATTATTCCTAAAGCTATACATTTTAACTCTGTAAAGTTTCCCACAGGTTTTTATTACACATAGGCATTTGGCCACAAATAAACTTTTATGTGTACCCACAACAATTTAAAATTTTGTTTTACAAAGCTATTGGCTTTTTTCATTTAAAAAGAATAAGGACTTGATGGAATTTCTTCAGAATTTGGCATAAATTCTTTACAGTAGTTGGTAAATAAAATAGATGGTAAAATGAAGGTTTGAGGACCATTTTATCCCTTTTTCAAAGAGCTGAACAACCAGAATGGTAAACTGAATGTCTTATATTTTCATTTTGAGACAAACTAGTGTTTGGTCTTTAAAAAACCCAACAACTTCACAACAGACAGATGGCATCAGCAGATGGGTATGGACACAGTTCTCTTGAAAAGCTATTCCGTCTCCCGGAATGCTCTTTTCCCACATAGCTCACTCCCTCACAGCAGCTAGATCTCTCCTCAAATATCACCTTGTCAGAAAGGCTTTCCTGTCCAACCTATCAAAGCAGCAACCCCCCTCCACTCTGGCTCCCTTGCCAATTTCAGTCTCTTTGCTTTGTTTAAATTTCTGTTAAAGCATTTATCACCACTTAATATGTTACATATTTTGGCAGTTAAAACATTAAGGACTGTATCCCCACATTAGAATTTAGACTGCATCCTACGTTTTGTTTGTGCTATGACCCTGGTGCTCAGAACAGTTCCAGGCACCTATCAAGCATTTAATAAATAGCTACTGAACACAGAATGCTGCCTTATGTATTTCCTTGTTCTTATATACACAGCTCTTTTTATGTAGTCCTCGATATTCTAAGGCCTCACCTTGGTGGGCTTCTTCTTCCCTTCAGTGATGTTTTCTGCCTCTTCATGTTCCTTTGCTCCTTGAGTCAGATTAGTGTAATTGGCCATACGGTTGAGGAGAGAAGACACCTTTGGTCTGGTGTCCATTTCTTCCTATAAAGCCAATGACATGGAAGAAATAAGTTACAAAGAACACTGAACATAACTGTCAAACCTTGCTACCAGAAAACTTCAAAGTAAATAAAAAAATATTTTACAGGTAAACATTTTAAGAAAACTTATCAATGAGACTTTATTCTCCCCCTTCCCCACATTAGACAATCACACTTAATCAGGGCAACATGAGTCTCTATAAAATTATTTGACAAAAAATGTATATATTTATGGTGTACAATGTGATGCTTCAATATTTGTATACATTGTGGAATGATTAAATCAACCTAATTGACATATCCATCACCTCAAATTATCTTGTGCTGACACCATTTAAAATCTACTGTTTTAGCAATTTCAAGTATACATTATTATTAATTATAGTCACCAGCTATATAATAGATGTCAAAAATTTATTCCTCCTAACTGAAACTTTGTGCCCTATGACTAACATCCCCCATTCTCTCCCTCCCTCCTGGAAACTTGAATTCTGTGCTCTCTGCTTCTAAGAGTTTGAATTTTTACATTCCACATGTAAGTGAGTTCCCATGGTATTTGTCTCTCTGTGACTGCCTTATTTCAATTAACAATGTCCTGCAGATTCATCTATGCCCTCACAAACGACAGCACTCTTTTTATGGCTGAGTAAGTCTCTATATATCACATCTTCTTTATTCATTAACTGATAGACACAGGTTGATTCCATATTTTGGTTTTTATCAATGATGCTGCCATAAACATGACAGTGAAAATATGAATGACATTCTGATTTCATTTTATTTGGATATATGCCCAGTAGTGAAACTGTTGGATCATGCAGTTAATTTTATTTTTAATTTTCTGAGGAACCTCCATGCTGTTTTCCACTCATAAAATTCTTACATAAAAACTTGCATTACTGGTTGGGTGCACTACTAGCTCATGCTTGTAATCCCAGCACTTCGGGAGGCTGAGGGGGAAGGACTACTTGAGGCCAGGAGTTCAAGACCTCAATCTCTACAAAAATGTTCTTAAAAAATTAGCTAGACATGGTAGCACATGCCTGTAATCCTAGCTACTAGGGCCCAGAAGTTAAGGTTACAGTGAGCTGTGATCATGCCACTGAACACTAGCCTGGGCAATAGAGTGAGCCCTGTCTCAAAAAACAAAACAAACAAAACCTTACATTCTTTCTAGTAGCCATGTAACTTTAGTAAAAACAAAATCGTAGTAACCTCGTAAAGAACATCAATAATATGATCCTTAATTATAGAACCTCCCATTTTTTGGCTATTAATATTTATAGCTATTACTTATGGCAACAAGTATAGAAGGTTGAGGAAATGCTTTTGTGCCTGAAGTAAATATTGACTTCAGAACTCTGCTTGCAGGAAGATGAGAGAGTATTATTTAAAAAAAATAAGTGGCCAGGTGTGGTGGCTCACGTCTGAAACCCCAGCACTTTGGGAGGCTGAATTGGGTGGATCACCTGAGGTCAGGAGTTCGAGACTAGGCTGGCCAACATGGCAAAACCCCGTCTCTATTAAAAATACAAAAAATCAGCCGGGTGTGGTGGCGCGTGCCTGTAATCCCAGCTACTCAGGAGGCTGATGCAGGAGAGTAGGCTTGAGCCTCGGAGGCAAAGGTTGCAGTGAGCCAAGACTGTGCCACTGCACTCCAGCCTGGGTGACAGAGTGAGACTCCATCTCAAAACAAAACAAAACAAAACAAAACAAAAAGGAACATTGAGTTGGGCACGGTGGCTCACTCCTGCTATCCCAATGCTTTGGGAGGGCAGTACAGGAGTATTGCTTGAGCCCAGGCATTCAAGACCAGCCTGGGCAACACACTGAGACTCTATCCCTAGAAAATATTTTAGCAATCGGCCAGGTGTGGTGACATATGCCTGTAGTCCCAGCTACTAGGGAGGCTGAGGTAGAAGGCTCCCTTGAGCCCAGGAGGTCAATCTGTGATCATGCCACTGCACTCCAGAGTGCGTGGCAGAGCAAGACCCTGTCTCAGAAACAAACCAGAAAAAGGTACATAGAGAAGCAGCACTTATTGTCGGAAGCCAGACAAAGGTAGTGCTGAAATAAACCAAGCTCCTTTCAACAACCTGGCCACAAGTTGTGGAGTCTGGCTACAGAGTCCATGCCATCTTACTCAGATAAGATATACGGGTCCTCTTCATTATGTAAAGTGAAATAAGCCAGCACATAAAGATAAGTATCACATGATCTCACTTTACATGTGGGATCTAAAAATTAGAACTCACAGTAAAGAGTAGAATGGTGGTTATCAGATGCTTGGGATGTACATAGGGGAATGGGGAGAGGTTAGTCACAGAGTCCAAAGTTTCAGTTAGGAGAAATAAGTTTTTGAGATCTATTGCACAGCATAGTGACTACAGTTAATAATAATATATTGCATATTTCAAAACTGTTAAGAAAGTCAAATTCAAGTATTTTTACCACAAAAATGATAAGTATCCAAGGTGACAGATATGCTAATCAGCTTGATTTAATCATTCCACAATATATACAAATATCAAGATAACACACTGTAATCCATAAATATACACACTTATTTTACATAAAAAAAAGACAAGCAGGTCTTGCTAATTTGGCAGCCTGCTTCCTACAGTAATTTTATTTAGTTAGTTCTAAGGCAAATGATAGTCCTTCCAGACAAAGGGTGGAGAAATACACTGATTTATACTTAGAAGAAAGATTATTCTAATAAAAACATTTAAATCACAGCTGAATTAGATTGCAAGGTTATCCATATGTCCAAGAAGTCAAACTCCTCTTCTTTACTACATAACAATTTGATTTGATATTTACTCACTATAATTAGATTACACAGATAAAATTAACTACAATAACAAGTTATAATAATTATGGTATTTTCTTTTAATATTAGTTACTAAATTATCCAGCTTGTACAATTTTAAAACCAAATGATGTAAAAAAAATGGCTATCATGAGATCTCTGTTCCTAAAGTCTCAGTCCATAGTTTTCTCTCAAATATTACCTCAAAGAGTGCCAAATTTTTATCAAAATATTCATCTCCTTCTTCATAATTGGAATTATTCAGGTAAGCGTTTCGAGCTTTCTTATGTCCATCATCTGGGAGGAAAAAAAAGTAGATCAAGTTAGCATCAGATTAACTGTATATTTCTTCCTTATTAATATAACCCATTTTCATATTCAAATTTCATCTTAGAGAGTAGAACTCAACCAGCATTGCTTGGAGAATATGGCCCCCTCTCTAGCAGTAACAAAAATAAATCTCTAAGAATTAAACATGGGGGGTAATTTCTTTCCTTAGGAATTATTCTTTTGGAATTCTTTGGAGACACTATTCTTTTGGAATTCCAGCCCAGCCCATTGAGACTCTATTCTTTTTTTTTGAGACAGAGTCTCGCTCCATTGCCCAGGCTGGACTGCAGTGGCGCAATCTCAGCTCACTGCAACCTCCACCTCCTGGGTTCAAGAGATTCTCTTGCCTCAGCCTCTGAGTAGCTGGGATTACAGGCATGCACCACAATGCCCAGCTAACGTTCTGTATTTTTAGTAGAGATGAGGTTTCACCATGTTGGCCAGGCTAGTCTCAAACTCCTGGACTTAAGTGATCCGCCCACCTCAGCCTTCCAAAGTGCTGAGATTACAGGCGTGAACCACTGTACCCGGCTAAGACTACTCTTAAAGTCACCTACATTTAGGAGAAAAAAAATATTCAGTATCTACTCAGTGTATAACACTGTGCTAGATGTGGTCTCCTTTACGCACTATTGCTGCTGAAAATGACAGCAGAAGCCCTCTGCCTTCATAGCTGTCTAAACTTTTACAAATTATATGAAGTTTTTGATTTGCATTTCTCTGATTTCAGTGAACATTTCACACCAGTTGTAATGGCAATTATTAAAAAGTAAAAAATAACAGATGTTAGCGAGGCTGCATATAAAAAGAAATGTTTATACACTGTTGGTGGGAATATAAATTAGTTTAGCCACTGTGGAAAGCAATTTGAAGATTTTTCAAAGAACTACCATTCCACCTAGCAATCCCATTACTGGGTATATACCCAAAGGAAAATAAATCATTCTACCAGAAAGACACATGCACTTGTAGTTCATTACAGCACTACTCACAATAACAAAGACAAGGTTCAACCCATGGTGCCCATCAGTGGTAAATTCGATAAATAAAATGTACACGATGGAATATGATGAAGCCCCATAAAAAAAAGAACAAAATCATATCCTGTGCAGTAACATGGGTGCAGCTGGGGGCCATTATCCTAAGCAAATTAATGTGGAACAGAAAACCAAATATTTCATGTTCTCACTTCTAAGTGGGAGCTAAACATTGAGTACACATGGACATAATGATGGGAAAAACAGACACTGGGAATTATAGAGGGGGCAGGGAAGACAGGAAAAAAGGGCTGAAGAACTACCTATCAGGTACTATTGATAGCATCAAGAGGCAGTTAGATGCCTAGGCAGATGGGGTAGATCCCTAGGGAAAACCCAACCTTCAGGGAAAGACAATTTAAAGCCTAGCTACAAGTCCTGGATAAATCCATGGACTGGATTGAGAACCTCTCTTCCTGTTTGTCACATTTTCCACTGATTGATTCGCCACCCGTCACCTATTTACCTATTTTACTTGTATCTACCTTTCCCTAATTGGTTTTTTTACATTATCATGCCCCTTTGAGTGGCGCCTTTGTTTTAACCTTTTTTTGCACACTCACAAACCAATCAGCACATACTCTCCACTCTGAGCCCATAAACTCCCGGACCCAGCCCCAATGAGAGAGAGAGAGAGAGAGAGAGAGAGAGAGAGAGACAGAGAGACAGAGAGAGACACCACCCTTGCATGCCCTCTCCCTTAAGAACCGTTTCTTGTCATTCGACAAAATTCTTCTCTGTCCTCCTTACCCTTTGATCATCAGCAGAACCTCATTCTTCTTGGATGGCGGACAAGAACTCAGGACCTACCTAACACAGGTACAAAGAAGGCTGTAATACTGTGTCCCTCCACGCTGTGCCAGTGGAGGGCAGCTACCTCACACAACAGAAAGCAACAGTGGGCCAGAGCGGGGGCGACGAGACTGAAAGAACTCACTGTCCAATGGGCTGCAGATGGCAGGACTAAAAGCACAATTAACACACTGCAACACCCCCTCTGAGGTTCAGGGTTGCGGGCACCTCTATTTAGGCACCACGGTGTTCCTGTCAGTGTGACACGCCTGGTCCAGCAACAAGCCCTACATGGAGCCTGCTCCTGTCCCTGGTCCAGCGACAAGCCCCGCATCAAGCTTGCTCCTGTCTCAGTGCTTGGCGCAGCCGGCCAGACACTGCCCTTGCTTGCTCACCACCTAACTCCCACCAGGGTCTGAGTGTGCAGTTGAATGGCTGCAGGATCTGCACTGGAGTGCAAGTCAGGCATAGCCCAATAGGTTGAATAGACTGGGCATTTCCTCTGGTGAGCTTGGGCCTGAGCAAGGCCTGGGTATGAATGTTGCTGGCCGGAGGTCTCTAGCTGGCAAAGTGGCCAAAAAAAAATCCTGTGTCGGTTGGGAGCAGTGGCTCATGCCTCTAATCCTAGCATTTTGGGAGGCCAAAGTGGGTGGATCACTTGAGGTCAAGAGTTCAAGACCAGCCTGGCCAACATGGTGAAACCCCCTCCCTACTGAAAGTACAAAAATTAGCCAGGTGTGGTGGGGCGTGCCTGTAGTCCCAGCTACTTGGGAGACTGAGGCAGGAGAACTGCTTGTGCCTGGGAAGTGCAGGTTGCAACGAGCTGAGATCTAGCCACTGCATGCCAGCCTGGGCTACAGAGTGAGAGTTTGTCTTAAAAAGAAGAACAATCCTGTGTCACTATGCTTACTACATGGGTGAAAGGACTGCACATACCACATTCCTCAGCATCATGCAATATACACATGTAACAAACCTGTATGTGTACCCTCTAAATCCAAAATAAAAGTTGAAAAAAATAGGGCAGGCACGGTGGCTCATGCTTATAATCCTAGAACTCTGGGAGGCCCAGGTGGGAGGATTCTAGTGTCCAAGAGTTCTGGATCAGCCTGGGCAACATTGAGACCCTACCTCTACAAAAAAAATTAAAAAACAAGCAGGGCATGGTGGTGTGCGCTTGTAGTTCTAGCTACTCAGGAGGCTGAGGCAGGAGGATCCCTTGATCCCAGGAGTACAAGGTTGCAAGTGAGCCATGACTGATCCACTGCACTCCAGCCTGGGCAACAGGGTGAGACCCAGTCTCGGGGAGAAAAATGTTGTAAAAAGAAAAACATTATATTATGTCATTTAACTATTATTTTTGTACAAACCCTTCCACATTTTTTTTAATGTTAAAAGAGGCATCTGACAGAAATTCAGTGAAAGAGCCATGAGGAAAAAAAAAGAGACTAGGTCTGTAAGACAGCAGACTGTGTTATTTGAGTACTTCCATAACTTTGTTTCAGTATTATGCAAAAGTTATATAATTACAGAGTCTGGCAAGAGAGAAGAAAAAAATAAATAACATAAATACTACTAAAAACTAACATTTTCAATACCTGGTAAATAAATATCAATATAAAAGTTAAAGAATTAAAAACCCTATGACCTTAAATGTGTAAGGATGGGCTTGAGAAACAGTCAATAAACTATTAAAATTACTGGGTCACTTCAAAGGGTACAGAGCCAAACTGAAGGGGTTCCCAATGCCCCAAAATGAAATAATATAAACACTAAAAATAAATAATGTGATTGATTGAAATGCAAATTTATGAAACACCCAAAATGATATTTTGAAAAATTAGTCACCTTTGCGGGGTTGTTAAGGAAACAACACATGCCTCTGAAAAATAATATTAATAAACAGAAAAAAATAAATGGAAAGCAATCATCTTGCCTTTCTTGTACCAACTACATTTCAGGGTAACCACTAATTAAAAGAAAATTTCATCCTTCCATACATGGAATGACAGAATTAGAAAAGGAAGTCACTAATGAAATAATGGATTTAGGCAATGGTCATCAATGGCTGCTAAAACCATTAGGTGAAAAGCTGAGGCAGAACTTTACAATGGATGTATCAGGGTGACCTGGAGCCTGCTAATCAGCTTTAATATCTCTGAAGGTAGGACAACACAATCTCCTGTAATACAATGAAAAATACACTGTACAAGCTATGACATATTCTTGCCAAAAGAAGGGAAATTGAATCTAATCAAGCCTCAAAATTTATCACTTTAAAGGAAACACAGAGGGGGAACATGTTAAACATCACAAGGATCTAATCACCAAATTCAGAATGTGAGAAATTTTACAAGATGATCTGACTTTCCAGCAAACAAATGGCATAAACTTAAAAGGTCAACTTTTATACGTATAAGAGACTTAAAAGACAAATCAACTAATTGCAAAGTGTGAACACTGTTAGGATCCTAACTCAATAAATTAAACGTAAAAAGGTATTTTTAAAACAATAAAAAGCAAAATATCGCTTATTTTTTTAAAAAGGGCAAGTAAAATCATACGATGACTGGAATTTTCTTGAAAACAGTCTAGGGAAAAATTAGGTAGGGTCTTGAAAACAGATTTGTAACGTTGAAGCTAGACGATGCATTCATAGCAGTGCATTATGCTATCCTACTTTTCCGTACCTTCGATATTTTCAGTAATAAAAAGTTATAAAAAGAAAAAAATATATAATTCTTTTCCTCTTTCTAATGGCTCCAGAATAGAAAATCCTAAAGAGCACAGCTTAAAATTATCACTACTTCTGAGTAATTCACTTATTCAATTTATTCAACTAATATTTATTAAATTCCTAGGATGTACTGGGTACTGTTCTAGGTCCCAAGGGTATAGCAGTAGACACAGCAGTTAAAGACACTGCCTTCATTGTACATATACTGAAGTTACAGAAGATAGAAAATAAGTAAAAACAACAATAGCAGCAACAAAAAAACAGGACAAAATAAAAACAAACAAACCCAAAAACAATTTCAGGAAATGCCAGGCATGGTGGCTCACACCTGTAATCCCAGCACTTTCGAAGGCTAAGCGGAGCAGATCACCTAAGGTCAGAGTTCGAGACCAGCATGATCT